CTGTAAAATAGTGAAATTATAATTAATGGGTAAAAATTAAAATAATTTGTTCACTATTTTATGAGAAATATTTCATTTTGTAAATTAATTGTGAGAAATAACTCAGATTAGATTAATTTCTTGTAAACATTCAATTTGGAAAAAAAAAATCTTTGTCAGAAATATTTTACGGACTTTTATATATTTTTCTCGTCTATTAGTGTATATGGAAAGCTGAAATACCACACATCTTAGCCCTCCTACACTCTTGTTACAATCCCACAATCGCTATAAATATACTTGTCTCGAGCCACTCTTCCTAGAAATTATTGCAATAAATCTGCGGCTTTTTATTAAACTTGGTTTAAAGTCAAAATTAGAAAAAAAAAAAAAAAAAAAAAAAAAAAAAAAAAAAAAACGCTAATACACTGACCAAAATAGGAAAATTAAAAAATTATTTTTATGAAATTATCATATTGTCATTACATCCAAATATAGGGTGATATGTGTTTTTTGAAAATTATTTCTTTCTATGACATAGAAAAATTATAACCATTCACCAAGTAATATATTTATAAGCCCCCAGAGAATTATTAGCAGAAATTAATTTACATATCTACAAGCATACATATGTAACAGTACCTAACGTTCATATGCTTTTTTTTAAGTGTTAACGAATTAATTGTGCGTTGAATGAAAAAAAAGTGAAGATTAAGTTACGAGTTAATAAAATATGAGTACAGTTTGAAAAATGTGTATTTTTTTCTACACATATATAACCATAACTTTATAACTTCAATATTTCATCTATTTTATAACCAATATCAATCAAAAATACTTTCAATTTTACTGACTTCAAATGTCAAAAGTAAATTAGAAAGAGATTTAATGTTTTTTTTAGAAAGTTCAATAAAATTCTCGAAATGAAAGAAGCTTGCAAAATTAAGGCACAATTATTTATGCAAAAATAAAAAAAAATGATTTTAATTTTCTATTAAATTATTTACTTTTTTTTAATAATCGTTTTTATTTTTTATTTCTTCTATACATACAGAGTGATTTTTATGTTCCGGACCCCCTAGAATTTTTTTTTAATTCCACTTTTTTTTTTTTTGTTTACACAAAGAACCTTTTTTTGTTTCAAAGAAAATTTTATTTTGAATTAAAGATAACACTGGGTTACATAAAAATGGTCAAGTCTTGTTTTTTTAAAATTTTCTGTGTTTATTGAAAGTTTAGGTGTCATTGAACAAGAATATACCCAAAAAAAAATTTTTCATTCGGTCAGTTCCGTAAAAAACGAGATTAAAGTGTCAAAAAATCGCTTTTTTAGCACTTTTTGAAGCGTTGTAAAACGAAAACGCAACAAGATAAAAACATTCACGAGGGCTTGAATGAAAGCTTAAACCTTCAACTTTGAGTCCCAAAACTGAAAAGTGAATGATAATTGCGCAGAAAATTTATATAACATGAAATGAATATCTCAAATAGTCAAAATAGCTGGGATAGAGAGCACTTGTTAAAAATCGATTTTCATAACCGAATTTATTTGGAACTTGTTACTTGGAAGTTTTTAACGTTTCTATTGACGTTTCGAAAGTTGGATTTAAAAAATTCAAAATGGCGGATTAAAAATGGCGTTCAAAAATTTCAAAAATGGAGTGAATTTTATCGCAGTTTTTTCCTCGGGGTTTTTTGAAATATTTGAACGCCATTTTGAATTTTTTAAATCCAACTTTCGAAACGTCAATAGAAACGTTGAAAACTTCCAAGTAACAAGTTCCAAATAAATTCGGTAATGAAAATCGATTTTTAACAAGTGCTCTCTATCCCAACTATTTTGACTATTTGAGATATTCATTTCATGTTATATAAATTTTCTGCGCAATTATCATTCACTTTTCAGTTTTGGGACTCAAAGTTGAAGGTTTAAGCTTTCATTCAAGCCCTCGTGAAGGTTTTTATCTTGTTGCGTTTTCGTTTTACAACGCTTCAAAAAGTGCTAAAAAAGCGATTTTTTGACACTTTAATCTCGTTTTTTACGGAACTGACCGAATGAAAAAATTTTTTTTGGGTATATTCTTGTTCAGTGACACCTAAACTTTCAATAAACACAGAAAATTTTAAATAAACAAGACTTGACCATTTTTATGTAACCCAGTGTAACAAGTCAAAGAAACTGGTTTCTTTAAATCAAAGAAATCTTTTCTCTGAGTGTAAGAAACGAAAAAAATGAGATTAAAAAAATTTTGTTAGAGAGTTCGGAACATAAAAATTACTCTGTATATAAAACTGTTTTTAATTAAGAAGCACATTTTTATTAATTTAATGTTAATTTTTCAGTTTTACTCTTACACTCAGAAAAAAGATATGTTTGAACCAAATGTACCATTTTTTTATATTTACCCAATTTTTTGGTTAGTTCAAACAAAATTTGTTTAATTCAAATAAATATTTATTTGATCTAAATAACTGTTTGGTTTATTTTAATAAATTTTTTGAACAAAGAAAAAATTTGATTGAGTTAAATAAACGTTTGGTTTATATGCAACCAAATGTTTGGTTAACTGTATAACAATGCATTTATTTTGTTGATTTAACCAAAATTTGGTTGCTTCAAACGAATTTTTTTCTGAGTGTAAAATAAGAATTCATTTTCTTAATCTTGAAAAATTTATATTTAAAATTACTAAGTAGGAATATTCTTATTTTAAAAATAGAATATCTAAAGTTAAGAATTGTATTTATTTAAAGTATTATAAAATAAGTAGTATTTATTATTTATTTTATAATATTTTTTTGGTCTTTATTTAATTTTAAAAATTTTGTTTCGAATTTATTAAAAACGCTTCTTTCAAGTTGAATTTTATTGTAATCAATTTTTTTTTCAACAATTTAATGATTTCTAAAATTATTTTCTCATAACTTTTCTGGACAGTTTTTTTTTTTGACCAGCTCGCGCACACTAAAAAAAAATTATAAATTTTTGTACTATGTGGAAGACGGATGTCCGTGAATGTATTTTAAATTGATGAAAAACGTGATAACAGGATTTTTTTTTTTTCGAAAAAAGAAGGAGAAAGAAAAATATTTCATTATTTTAGCCGCAATGAAATTTTTCCCTTCGATTTTATTTTCTATCGCAGTCGTTTAGTTATTTTTTTTCTGTGTTATCGTTTATACTCAATGATTTTTTTTTATTTTTCCCTTTTTTTATCCACTATACAACATTCTAGCAACTAATTTCCATAAAAAATCGTGTCGAAACTATTCTGTTCGAACTAACTCGGTTTTGTAAAATTGTACTCAAGTTAATATAAAACCCGCAATATCGAACTAAGTGGCCTACGTTGATCCCAAAATTGTCATATTTTTTATTCATAAATACGTTATAAAAAAGTCTTTTCTTTTTGGTGATTTTTATTATGCCCAGATAATTTAAAAAGAAAATAAAATTTTCATCTACTTTTTTTTGTATTAAAATTTTTTTTTACCTGGGCGATAATAAAAAAAAAATTAGGCCCCCAAACGCCTTTTTGAAACCGTTGTGCGTGTTTAGTGAAAAAAAAAAATGTTTTGTCAAAATACTCTACTTTTTCTAAATCTAAAAACAACTGGAGACCCTGTCTTTGAATTTTTTTTTTTTTAATTCGCGGAAGTGGAGGTAATAAACTGTGTATCTATTTTGGGTTACGAAGCATCACTATTCAGTTACGTTGTAATGTTATAAATACAGCTGATGATTGGATTTTGTAGTATATGGTCCACTTGTGTTATTATTTTTTGTTTTTAAACTAAACTATTTGTTATTTTCCATTAGAGATTTTTTTTTTAAATTTCTCTAAAAGAACTAAAAAAAAAAATATTCTACTTAAAATTATTCTACTTTATTTATTTTTATTTTTTTACAGTGATTTGATTTTTATCATCAATAATCAATGAAGTCAATTTAATTAAAAATTGTTATGTTCCCATAATACCTGAGATATATTTTTTTTAAATACTATTATACTAGAGTTGTTTTTAGAAAATGTTCTTTCTTTGAACGTTTTGAGTCTTAATGTTATAATATTAGAGCCAATTTTTTTTTTCGCTAGTTTTTGTCATAATTGAATTTAGAAATATAAAAATAGAATCTAAGAGAACTCAACGTGAATAACCTATAAATATTATTTTCTAAAATGATATCACAGTTAACTTATCAGCTTATTTATTTTTATTATAGAAAATACTGCTCAATTTTTTATATATTATTTTATTTTGCAGTTTTTTTTTGTAAATGTTTTTTGTTTGTAAAATTTTATTTTAGAATATTATCTGTAAAATATGTAAAATTTTTGCATTTAAGAATATTTTGTAAAAATGTCTAAAATTTTATTTTCTAAATGTTATTTTAAAAATTTAATTCTTTAAAAATTTTATCGAAATTTTTGAGTGTTTTGTATTTTGAATTTTTTTTGCAAATTTGCCTTTAATAAGTTTTTAAAGAAAAATTGTAAAATGTTTCTTACAAACAATTTGAGAATGGTTTATATTTTAATATTAAATAAATGAGTTTGAATTAAAGTTTATCTTATCTACATCCAGAAGAAGGTAATCTTAATTCTAGATTACTCTTATTTTATTTGTATTAAATAATTACTAATATTTTAAGTCAATTATGGTATTTGTTTCAAATACAGAAAATTATTTTTCAAATACAGTTTATTTAATTCAAATAAAAATTATTTGGTTCAAGTAAATATTTATTTGATAATTCAAGTAATATATTATTTGAAACAAATAACGTCGATAAAGTTCACAACGTTTATAATCAACGATTTAGAAAGAGAAATATTTTTCTACTTATGTTTTTGGATAAAAAATTTTTTCTAACGTTCCACAACCAGAGAAATATTTTATTTGAACTAAATATATTATATTTGAGTTAAATAAACGTTTATTAATACTATTCCATTTGGCGTAAATAACAATTTTATATAAATGAAATTCTTATTTAGATCAAATAAAAAATTATAAATATTTAGCTCTGAGAAAAATAATATCATTTCTCTGGGTGCTCGATCAATAATTTTGAAAATAAAATAATTTGTAGGCAAAAAATTTTATTTTCCAATTAAAAAATGATTTTAATCGTTGATAGTAAACGCATCAAATAAATATTTTTTCTCGTATTCTTTCTGTGAAATATTCTCGTTTTGAGAGGAAAATATCAAGAGTATTTCTTTTGAATAATAAGATTATTTTTTTCTTTTGGATGTTTTCCGTAAATCATCAGCTGTATTTAAATAACATTTTAAAATCTAAGCAACAATTCTGATCAAGGAGACGCTAAAACATCACGTATCCAATATTAAAATTGGATTTTTTTTTTATCATCTGAATTTTAATCAGATAAAGTACATGGGATCGTGTTCAATAATGGAATCCATCTGCCTAATCGACAATTTTTTAGGAATTTGCATACGTTTTCGTTTTGAATTATTACAATGGGACAACGACCCCTTGCGTCACATATAAGTTGGCTTTACTTTATAAGCTCTTTTCCAAATTTCACAAAGACATACTGTACTGTGAAAACGATAAAATATTGCCAATGGCATTGACACGTGCGTTATTATTGTCCATGCCCAAAGACCATAAAAATGAAGTTGTACAGGATGTGATTCGGCTCTTGATTTTTCCAATGTATTTACTGCCCACATTGCTAAATTTGTCACCAATAAAAATGTAACAATTTGCCGCGCTGGTTTACGTCGTATATTTTCTGCTGTTGAAACTGATCTTCTCGATGCATCGAGAATAAATATTGTTTGACATGTTGTTTGAAGTACACTCGCTAGGGCCGTTACAAGAATTAATATTGTATCTTTATCGGGTGTAAAATGACTACCAATTATTGTGAATGTTGAATAGATAAACATTCCCGTTTGTGCTCCAACTAGAAGAATATTATCTAATTCAAGATTTCTTCCGCCATCGTAACGTAATTTGCGAATTTGACACATTCCAATAAGTGTTGCCAATGTTGAGAGTCCATAGAGGGTTAATTCGCAAATATTCACTTCCATTACTGCAAAGTTGACATGCTCGGGACGTGAAATTAGAACGAAAAACAGAATTAGGGATATTATCGTCATTACAAGAATGAGAATACCAAAGAATAGTCCTTTGTGAGCTTGAGCACAATCGACGCTGTAGTGGTAGGGCGACTTCCTATAATTTTCAAAAAGAAATGTTTTTATTTTTGCTTTAAAGTACTCAAAATTCAAAATCTAAAGAAATATTTTTATACCTGTATGCATGAGCATGATGCCTTGACGGTGTGGTTGGACTCGATGGATTTGCAGCTTTCGCAATATTTTTCCACATTACGTATAAAATTGCAGCACAAATTAAACTGTATTCAATTGTGCAAGGAAAGAGAAATGGACTTGCGTCTTGAACCAATAATCCCATAATATTGTCCCTTCTACATTCGAATATATTGTGAGGTCCTTTTAGTCCTCGCGATACCCTTAAACGATCTATGTGACCATGATTGTGACCCATATGAAAACTTCCTTTTGATCCTTAAATTTTGAAAAAGTTTGTAAATAAATCTTTAATAAAATTAAAGAATTTATCTAACAATTGACTTACCTATTCGATGAGAAATTCTTATAGAATTATTCTCAGGATTGTAAAAAGTTAAAATCTCGTGTTTCGTTTCTTGTACGAGAACATTGAGCCATACGGAGAGATTTGTTCCAATCATGTGCATCAGTCCAAAACGTGCTATCACTCGATGACGATAGACTTTCATTTGCTGTAAATATTTGTGATTGAAAAATTATTTTAATTTTGTTTCTTATTTTTAACTAAACTGAGAAAAATATGCTATTGAATCAACTACTGAAGGTATAAAAATTATTGATTCTGAAGCATATATGCATTTGTAAAATATTATATATAGATTTTATAGCATATGCTTCAGAATCAATCTGTTTTATGCCTTTGGCAGTTGATTCAATAGCATATTTTTCTCATTGTAAATGTTGATAATCAATTTTGGTTGTCAAAATATTTAAAAAGCATTTGGTCTTGTAGACAAAAAGCAACCCTGTTGAGTAATTTCTTCCACTAGAGTGTCAGGATATTCACCCTTCTATTTCATTAATCCCTGTGGTTACTCTTGTGATGAAATAATGCTTCCAGTAACACATTAGGTTTACCGCTATATACACAGAGAGCTACCCTCGGATTTTTTTTCCACGTTCATGAAACTTCTCTTTTTAGCAAAACAAATTTTCCAATGGAGAATTTTAATATTTTTTTAATTTGAAATTTCAATTTAATTTTTGTGAATTTTTGCGAAAGCGCTTTTAATTTTGCGCACAGAAAAAAGGAAATTGCTTACAGATGCTAACTAATGTTTGCTAATGGATTTATCAAAATTAGTAACCAATTTTTAAAAATACTGTCACAGCAAAATTTTTTGGCCCTACAGAAAATTTGTTCCTACAATTAGCTAACGTAAATTGAGTAAATTTTTCTATGCGTGTGAAAAATAGCATAAAAATTGCATACTTACTTTGTTGTTTAAAAAGATAAAGTACATTTGGATGAAAATAAAGGCCATTCGACTAGCTGGAGTAACGGCAAGCATAATATTATGGCATTTAGTGTTGAGTTCGAGTTCGAAATATTGTCCAAATTCCAGACCGGAATAAATCATTGAACCTATTCCAAAAGCCACGGCTCCCATTCGGAGATAAAAACTACCATAATGTTGTGCTGGTCGAGAGGCAATATGTGGGCACGATGTGTCAACAGTGTCACTGTCAACCCCTGCACCACTTGATGATCGCGATGAATCCAAATCCGAAATATCTTTTTGCTTCTCTATAATTATTGACAAATAATTCAGTTTCTTTTTGGTAATTTTGATTTTCATTTTTACTATTTAAACTTACTTTGTTTGGGTCTTCCATCTTTATGCATCATAATGCACATGTAAAAAAGAAAGAGCATACTTCCAATATAGAGATAGAGGTAGAAAGATTCATAAAATGATGGAGGGATGTAGGTTGAAATTACTTCCGACATGGGAAATGCAATACCCATTACAACGAGTAGTTTTCCATAGAGGGCACTTAGCGTTGTTGCTAATGCGTAGCTAGTATTAGGGAAAAGAAACATTTTTTTTAGAAATAATTATCAAAACTTCAATCATCGAAATTGAAAAAAAATTTAACCAATTTATTTTGTGTGTAATATATTATATTTGACAGATTGATTTATGGATAGAAAATTAGTGACCGCAGTGGAATCATAATAAATAAGTGTATCATTATCCAATTAGAATATTCTCTCCCGTATAGAATATTACATATGTATATGTGAGTAGTTCTATTGCAAAAATATATATGTATATAGATTATAAGAATATTGGCTCAATTACATTCAATCGTGTTTCTCGACTATACCGTGTGTTTAATCTGTCAAGTGGCTTCGTAATTGCAACGAATAACCCGACAGGACACAAAACGTCGAGGAACACGTGAAATTTACATGACTCTTAATCGAGCTTTTCACACTATCCCTTCAGTTGATGTTTTCACTTTTTTCATTTTTTAAATGGCTAATTAATGAAAGCCTCAATTTGTGTTTAGGGGTTATTTGCAACTTTTTTTTGATTTGAATTGTGTTTTTTGAATAAAAATTTAAAAAAAAAAAATTTAAAAAGCAAAAACTAGGATGATATTCAGTAAATTGTGATTGAGTTTCAGTGAATCGTAACTGACTTTTAGTAGATCATAATTTTTCAATAGATTATGACTGACTTTCACTAACTCATAATTAACTTTCAATAAATAATGACTGACTTTCAGTAAATATTGACTGACTTTCAGTAAAGTATAATTCACTTTCAGTGGATTATGACTGACTTTCAGTGAATCTTAATTAATTTTAAGTAGACTATGACTTAATTTCAATCAATTATAATTAACTTTCAGTAAATTATGACTGAATTACAGTCTACTTTCAGTAGATTACAACTGACTTTTAGTACATCTTAATTTAGTCGACTATGACTGACTTTCAGTAAATCTTAATTAACTTTCAGTTGATTGTGTCTTACTTTCAGTAAGTTACAATTAACTTTCAATATATTATGACTGACTTTCAGAAAATTGTATACCATAACTGATTTTCAGTATGTCATGTCCAACTTTCAGTAATTCAAGATTAACGTTTAATTGAACATGATTGACTTTCATTAGAGCATGACTAATTTTTACTAGACTATAACTGACTTTAAGTAAAACCTAACTGACCTTAAGTATAACTTATCTGACGTTTAATAGAGCATGATTTACATTCAGTAAACTATCCTGACATTCAGTAAATTATGTTAATCATAACTTACTGACTTTCAGTAAATCATGATTGACTTTCAACAGACTGTGACTGACTTTCAGTACACTATGACTGATTTTCAGTAACCCCTGCTTGATTATCACTAAAATTCGCCTGTTTTTTTTTTAATACAATACTCTACTTTTGCTACATATTTGAAAATTTTGAATTTCAATTGTGAAAAGTTCGATTCTGTTATGTAAGTCATTTTTAAAAAGAATATGAAGAATTAATTTTCTCTTTTTTTTTAAATTTCTAAAAAATAATTTCTCGTTTATGTAATTCGTGATATGTATTAATGAACATACCATCCAAGATTCTTGTAATTCCGATCGTCCGTGACGTCGATATATGTAGGAGCCAGTGGGTAGCAAACGGCAGATATCGGTTGAGTTGAACATGGTAAAGCCAAAGGGTATTGGGGTGGGCGATTACTTCTCGAAGGTGAACTGCTGCTATGAGTAGATAAGGTTTCTGGAGAAACAATTACCGCAGATGGAGATGCTGGTGATGGCAATGTTGCCGGTATTCCCGGCCAACTAAATAAACAGAAATATAATTGCCAACATCCCTTTAATTTCCGAAGAAAACAACATTGGTTCTTCTTTTCGATAAATGAAAATAATAATTTTTTTTACAAAACAATTTATTATTATTAATATTATTTAATTAGTAATTAATTATATATATATATAAAATAGTTATTTAGTTTATTTAATAAATATAGAAAAATAAATTATAGAAAAATGTTTGATAAAAAAAAAAACTGTTCTAGTGTTTAAGGATATTAAGTTGAATGCCTTTTGATATAGAGTGCTTGAATCGGTATTTAAAATCGATTACTTTCATATATTCAAGAGCGCTTGTTCACCTCATTTAAGGTCAAGCTGTCGTTCAAATATTGATATGCCTCTTTGACACTGGTTGCAGAAAGTGGTTTACCTATATTTTGACATATTTCCGACAAATTGATTAAGTAATGTGAAAATTAGTCAAAAATTATATGATTAAGATTTTCTATTTTTTTTTTATAACTATTAATTAGGGGCTGTTCAAAAAATACTTAACGCTTTTTTATTGGAAATTTCACCCCCCCCCCCCAACGCTATTTTTTGACTAACCCCCCTCCCTCCCCCTTAGAAGCGTTACGTATTTTTTTGCTGCTAATTTATTAATTATTGTTACTATTTTTATTGCTTGGCATAACTATTTTATTAGTTGGTTTAACTAATTAGTTTGCTGGAATAACTATTAAATTAGTTGGTTTAACCAATTAGTTTGTTGGAATAACTATTTAATTAGTTACATTACTAATAAAATGGTAACAGTAACTAATATAAAACAAAAAAAAATTATTACTAACGAAACGGTAATCGTAACCAATTGTTTCTCTCAGTGCAAATAAATATTTACTTGAAACAAATAATTTTTATTTGTATTAAATATAACTATTTTGGACCAATAATTTATGTATTTGAAAGAAATAAAATTTAATTGACTTAAAAATTATATGGTTCAAAGAATTATTATTTATTTGATTATCACGCAGAGAAATGATTTATTTGAACCAAATAAAATATATTTGAGTTAAATAAACGTATATTTGTCTCAGAGCCTACTAACTTATTTATTTGGCGTAAATAAAAGTTTTATTTGTCAGAAATAAATTTTTCTTTGCCTCAAATAAATTTTTTATTTCAATGAAATAAAATATTATTATTGTTATTATTATTTGAATCAAATAAAAGTTTTTTTTCAGTGTAATCTTTTCATTTAATAAATTATTATTGTAGGTTTTAAATTATTTTATTAATATTTTTATAAATTATTTGCAAATAACTTGTTTTGAATTAATATTATGGAAATTGTGTGCAATTCTGTCTGCAGTTAGTGGTATATTGTGCGAGACAATTAGGATATTCGATTTCACATTGCGGTTTCTATATACAGAAGCTGTATTATAGTTTTGATGATAAGCCTCTTGAATATATACAATTCATGGAAACAAGTGAAGCACTTTAGAATTATTATTATTATTATTATTATACTTTTTTTCGCCTCTAGGCAAAATTAATTAATAATCGAAATCACAGAATTAAAAAAAAAATTAATAACAAAAATCATAGAAGTTTGAAAATATTGAAGCACTGAAAATAGAAATGACTTAATTAATAGTAAGCGGAATAAAAAAAAAAAAAATTGCAAATTGAAGTGATTGAAAAATATGAAAACGTGGCGAAATTTTCTCTCTCTTTTTTTTCTATTCTATCGAGTGTATAACGGAATTTGCGATCGATTGACGATTAACGACCACCACGGTAAATAGGGTCTACGTTCTCGGCAATTTATACGGTTCGTGCAACCATTTTCCTCTTCCTCTACCCATGGGACACGAGGGTCAAGGTAGCGTGAATATATCAAGAGGACATTGCTAGAGAGAGAGAGAGAAAAAAAATGACGAACCCAAGAGTGAAGATGGAGAGTTTCATCTCGAGACTCTAGCATTTTAAAATAATCACGTAGTTTTTGAGGAGTATGCATGAGTAGCTAAGGGTGTGGAGGGGACTCAAGAAGGGTTGATTCAATGGCTGAGTGGCGTTCTCTCATTGTGCTGAGCGAATCTATCCCTCTGCTTGAAAAAAAATAAGCCTATGGCGTGACCCTCTCTCTCTCTTTTTTTTTCTTCAGAAAGTCACTGCCCCGCGTCATATCATCTCTTCTATTGAAATTCCCAGTTGAATATATCTACTCGGTTCCGTTCTATATATTTTCGACACTTTTGCGGAAAACTTGGATATTATTTCTGAAACCAATAGTGCACCGCAGAGATAAAGTTCTATATATATATAATATAAGGGTGGAAAACTTTTGTTTGGAGGGTATGTGAGCATTTTCCAAGGTTGTAGATTTTATCGCTTTGCGCTAGTTTAACAGCCTCTTTGAGTAAAATTGGGGGAGAAACGAAATGACAGTCTTAATTATAAAGGAAGTAATCTAACATAACGTGTATTAAATGAATGCGTACAGATGTTGAGAAATTTATGAAGGAATTGTCATTTTAATTATTCTCATTATTCTGATAGCAAAAAATTAACGAGAAATAAATTAAATATTTTTATTTTAAATTTTACCATCGTCTTTTGTAATTTATATGATTTTAATTTAGTTATTCAAATTTTGAATGATTAAATTTTTTAAAGGGGTAATTAACAATGTACCTGAGAGATGTTTCTTTAATTAGCATCTCCGTGACCTTGGCTCGTAATTTTTTCATCCGTTTTCAACACAATCTTCGGACGATGGTTCCTCACCAGCGGATGACATAATCATAGCCCTCCAACTTTTAACACGACACTCGGGAACCCCACATTACATACTGAGTTGCATTTCATCAGATATAAGAGACGAACTGATCATATTTGGCCTATATCGCGTGATAACGAATTAAATTAACTTCCATACATTCGGGATAAGTTCAAAAAAAAATTTTTCCCCTTTTATACATGTACACTGAAAAGAAATTTATACTAAATTTTAAAATATTTGGTTACTATTTATGCTTTCAATTACACACAAATAAAAGATATCTTTTTCTCAAAGCCAAATACATATTTATTTCTTTTAAATAAATTTTATTTGGATTAAATAAAAATTGTATTTGTGCTAAATAAATTTTTAAGATAAGAAATAAATGATCAAATGGAAATAGTAAATGGAATAAAAATTCCTATAATCATTTATCTTTTATCAATCAATAAAAAAATGTGGAATTAATAATATTCATTTACTAAATTCTTTTATTTTAGACAAATAAAAAAGTTATTTGGGTTCTGAGATAAATATATTTTTATTTGTCTCAAATAAATGTCAAATAAAATATTTCTTTGGGTGTAATATTCATGAAATAATAAATTAATAATAAATAAATTCTTGAAATCTACACGCCAGAAAAATGTTTTATTTAAACCAAATATACGATATATTTTAGTTAAATAAATGTATATTTGTCTGAGCCCATTTATTTGGCACACGGAGAAAAATGGAAAAAACGAATAAAGTAACTTTTACTACTTTAAAAGTAAAATTTTGAACTGTCTGCAATTTCTACGCATTTCTGACAATTTTTACTTCCAGAAATAGTAAAATTCACAATTTCTGGAATAATTTGTACTATTTCAGGAGTAAATTTGAATATTTCTGGAGTAAAAATTGCCAGAAATGCGCAGCAATTGCGGACAATTCAAGTTTTATTTTTAACACAGAAAATTGAAAGGTATTAAAATAAGCTGCAACGCTTATTATTTTAATCCAATTTTGCTTATTTTAATCCATTTTAGTATTAAAATAAGCAAAATTGGATTAGAATAATAAGCGTTGCAGCTTATTTTAATACCTTATAATTTTCTGTGAAAGTAGTAAAAGTTATTTTATTCTTTTTCCATTTTTCTGTGTGGCATAAATAAATAATTATTTGCAGTACCTAAATAAATATTTATTTAACTCTGAGACAAATATATCTTTACCCTGGGTGTAAATTTTTAAATTTAGAATATCGTTTTTTTTTTAATATTATTGACGAATGTCGCTAAATTTTTCAATTTTGGAAAAGTTGTTCCATTTATAAAACAAATTGAATTATGAAACGTTCAGACGATTTAATTAACAGATCCTTATTTAAACATATTTCGATACTATTTTATTACCTACATTATTAATTTTTGCCAGTTTATTAATAATTCCTGTAATTTCGTTGGAAGTTAATTAATTTCAAATTACATTGGATTATTAAATACAAAAGACCTTCCTTTCTTTTTCTACAACATATTATTGGTGTTGGAAAAAACTGAGCTTGACAAAAAATTGTTTGCAAATGAAATTGATTTTGTTTCATCGTGTTAATTTTTCGTGTTTTCCATATTGTTTCAATTTTGTTAAAAATTCACAATTTGTGAAATATTTTTTTTAGGAGTGATTGAAATTTTGTTACGATGAATATTCTATTTCGTTACGTGGTAAAAAAAAAAAAAAAAAAGTTGAACCCATTTGAATATCAGATTTCCACAAAAGTATTGATTTTCCTAAATGTCGTTTCAAACTTTTTCTTCTATTTACTTTTCATTTATACATATTGATGCGTGAATAAAGTTATACATACGAAACTTGTGTGATATATATATATTGTCTGAAAGTAAAAACTTTGAAAATGGTAAAATTCTTTCCAACACACAATAAATGGAGAAACTTTTTATAAATTGTCACATTTTTCTTTATATCTTCTATTTAACTTCTGTAATTGATTTTCACTTTCAAGAAAATAATCTTTTATTTTTTCTACATGGGAAATAAGAATTTTTGTTTTTTTTTAAAAAAAGTATTTGACGTTACCACTTGAGACTTGAAACTTTTAATTCTTCATTTATTCTTCGAATTGGAATTCAGAGTTCAGAAATAATGTATTATATCTTGAGTGTAAGAACATTTCAATTATTTATGACTGCCGTTGTTTCCTTAAAAGTTTCAACGAAAGAAATATGAACTTTTTACCCGTGAAAAAAAGAAAACTTTCGTGTAATATTCTACTGTTTCGAGTGTAGTAGCTATGGAGAGAGAGAGAGAGAGAGCGAGAGAGAACAAGAACTTTTCCTCAAAACTTATAAGATTATCCCCTGTGTAATTACAAGGGTAATGAGAAATTTTATATAAAAGTTTTGGTAGACAGTGAAAATTCGCGATTAAGAGGATGCTGGCATTATTAAAATGTCGCCACGCCCATATTTTAAATTGTTAATTATTTTCAAAGGAAAATGATTCTTTTTTCAAGAAAAAGGATATTTTCTAATCAATTTAAAGGGGTAGATTAAAAATATCTTCAAAAGTGTTTTGTCACTTTTTTATAATTATTTGATAAAAAAAAAAATCTTAAATTAAATTAAATCTTTAAAAAGATATGAATTACTTTAATTTTACAAATTATTTTGATATAGTAATTTATTATTTACTAGACTCAGAGAAAATTTGTCTCAGAGTCAAATCAGTATTTACTTATTGCAAATAAATTTTATTTGATGTAAATAAAAATTTTATTTATGATAACATATTTTTATTTACGACAAATATATTATATTTTTGTTCAAATAAAATATTTCTCTTATTTATTTGAATAACTATTAATTAAATAAATTTATTATAATTAATATCTATTAATTTATTTTCAGAATTGATGTCTTTGGAAGTAAACTATGAACCATTTGGACATCAGGAGTGAAAATTTGTCAACTCATTTGTGATTCGAGATGAAAATGGAGCCAAGGCTGATTTATTCTAAGGTAGAAATTATTTAAAATTGATAATTATAATAACAATATCGTATACACAAAAAAACTTATTTGATTTAAATAATCAATTACTTAGCTATTATCAAATAAACTTTAGTGAAGTCAACAATTTTTGAATGGAAAATAAATATTTTTTAATTGACTTGAATAATAATTATTTGATACAAATAAATATTTATTTGATAATAATAAAGTAACAGATTATTTGAATCAAATACATGTTTTTTGATTTAAATAAAAATTTTATTTATGATAACATATTTTTATTTTCGACAAATATATTATATTTTGTTTAAATAAAACATTTCTCTGGGTGAATTATTTATTTATTTTAATAATTTTTATGTAAATTAATTTATTATAATTAATATTCATTAATTTATTTTCAGAATGAATGTTGATGTCTTTGGAAGAAAACTATAAACCACTTGGACATCAGGAGTGAAAATTTGTCAACTCATTTGTGATTCGAGATAAAAATGGAGCCAAAGCTGTTTTATTCTAAGGTAGGAATTATTTAAAATTGATAATTATAAAAACAATATAATATTTATATTAATAAGGTAACACAGAAAAAAAAATTTATTTAATTTATATAATCAGTTATTTGGCTATTATCAAATAAACTTTATTCAAGTCAATAATTTTTGCATTGATAGTAAATATTTTTTAATTGACTTGAATAGTAAATAAATATTTATTTGATAATAATCACGTGACAGATTATTTATATTAAATAAATTTTTTTTCAGTGTATTACACTTAGAGAAAAAACATATTTGTTTCACCTCCAACTAAAATTTTTATTTGTTTGAAATAAATTTTATTTGGTTTAAAATTTTTAGTAAAATTTTATTTGGCTCAAATATATGTTTTATTTATGTCGAATAAAATTTTTATTTAAAACAAAAAAGTCTAGTTGGTGCTGAGACAAATAAAACTCAAATAAAATATATTTCGTTTAAATATAATTTTTCTCTGGATGTACTTTATTAATTTCACCAATTCGAAATTATATAATTTTACAAAATGAATTTTTTTTTTGTTATTATTTTTTAAAATTCTATTTTTAAACGAGAGATTTTATGAATTCGCTTTTCATTCAAAATTAATGGATTCCTCAAGTTCTTCTTGTGTCCCATTTCTTTTGAAGTAATCGCAGTAGTAATCTGTTTCTTTTCTTCTTTTTATATCGGTAAGATACTTTTCTGCATCTCTCTAAAACTTTTTATAAAGAAACGAGCATTATTGTACTTGACTATACAATATAAGTTCAACAGAGCAACCTGGAGTAGTAGTTGAATTGGGTAGAAATTTTAAGTCTCGACAAAATAAGCTGGCTTCTAGTGCTTGAAGAGTGAGGGCAAAAAGAGGATTTTGGGAAAGGGAAAAAAAAAGAGGAGGAATTTATATATGGTCGCGCAAAGGGGTTTTAGAAATTTTGCAAGGTTCACCGGAAACGAAGGACGTGCGAAATCTATAACGAAGTGACAGAGACCAGTGTGTTATCATTCGGCTGTCGAATTCCGCGCTCGATATCCGCCGGAAGTAATTGGATTTTGGCTATATACCACCCCTCATATCTTTCAGTACCAACCAACATTTACGAGTCGTTTATTTTTAAATTAAATCTCTTTTCCACAATGGATGCAATTTTCAATTTTTGTCTATTTATTCTTGTTTTGTGTAATATTTTTATTTTGGGAATAATTTTTGAATATAATAATTTTAAAGAAATTGTTTATTTACAATTAGATTTTTTTTTTGGTTTTTTTTTTTAAAACGGGTTGGTTGTATAACGAAAAAGGGTTTTTACTTACAGGGGTATCGGTTTTTCTTTTTCTGCACTAATTACGGGAGCGTCTGGTGTTGCAAGTGCAGCTTCGAGAGCAGCTGTTTCCTCTTCCTCGCGAAGTTCCTCTGAAGCTTCTTCCGGTATTGTTGAGATGTCCTCCATTAGCGGCAGATCGATTCTACTGTCCTCTATATGATTCCCCAGAATCGAATCCCCATTGTCCGGTCGTACCACTTCTTCGATGTCCGAGTCAATGCCCTATTTATGTTGACAGTTTTATAATTAAAATATCTACAGTATAGAAATTCGAAAATCAAAAGGCTTATTAGAAAAAAAAAATTTATCGACATTAAATAAATATTTGAATCAAATAATTTTCATTTGAATAATTAATATTTGGATCAATAATTTTTTTATTTGAAACAAAATTTAATTGACCCAAATAATAATTATTGCATACAAATAAATATTATAATTTAAATATTATTATAATAAATATTATTTGAATCAATTTTTTTTTCCAGTGTCGCAAAATGAATTAAGTCGACTTAAAAAGACTAGCGTAAAAAAAAAACAAAAATGCTTTGAATAACTAAGAGTTTTTCTGTTATTTATTGTAATTTAAAAATTCTAAAGTCCATTATTGTCTTGGGTTCTTTTTTATTGGTTATTTTATTATTGCAAAGTATCTAGACAATATATACCTGTGCAAAATCCATATAAAATGAATCCCTGGAGTCGGAACTACCTCTACGAAGCCGGAGGCTGAGATCAGGTGAACTCTCACCCATCTTTCTTATCTCACTCTCTTTTCTCGACTCGACCCGACGCTTCGACCCTTTGTCTTTTACAAACTCCTTCCTCCGAGAATGGGGAATTTCTAAAGAGGATGTCCCTGCTGCACACACGTTAGATGGACTTGCATCAGGGTGCTTTAGGGAATTGCCCTTAAATGACAAATCGTTTTGTATGTTAAAAAAAATATATTTAATTCCTGATTCTATTTTCTCGTTTAATAAATAGTACCTTAATAATAATTTATTAATAAATAAAAAATAAAATAATAAATATTAGAAATCAATAATGTTAAAAAAATAAAACAATTCTTCACTAAGAAAAATGTTTAGTCAGAGCAAACAAAATTTTATTGGTATTTAAGCAACCAAAATATTTGAGTCAACCAAAAAATTTGGTTGAGTGTTTTTTGTTGGCATAACAAAAATGTTTGGTTAGCTCAACCAAATTTTTTTGTTAGGTCAACAAAAAAGTTTTTATTATTATTATTTGGTTGTATGAAAATTTTGGTTTTTCAATTTTTTTTTTTTTTTTGGTACAGATTTGATATTTAAATAAACTTTTAATTTTAAAATTAAATTCTTATAAAAAATCACGACTCTGTAAAATGACGGATTTAAATATTTATAATGACATATTTTCAACGTGCGAAGAGTAAAATCTCTTTAGTATTCTCTAAAAATACTCAACAGTTATTTTAAGCTAATGGCTCTTTGAAAAGCTAAAAAGTTTCGATGAAAGTTTTAAAAGCTCGAAAATTCGCGTAAAATTCCGTTAAATAAAAAAGTTTATAAAGCTCTACGTTATAATCGCATTTGGATTCTTATAGTCTATAAGAGAGGAAATATATTTTTTTTTATATACTATACCTTCCAGAAACATTTGTCCGAAGGGATTTTTGGTCCCGAATATATTGATATGATGATATATGCTACTTTGCCATCGTATTCGTGATCGAATTATTATAGGGACAATCCATGTTGTTCAGCATCTCTCTCTCTTTCGAACTTTATATATATAACATTTCGATTCCGGGGACCCTTTTTTTTTCCTCGTCGACGTAGATTTTATGAGTCGTATTCGCCACCAAATGTTCCCCCATCGAACAACTCCCCTTTTCTCTCCCTTTCTCTCTCTCTTTCTCTCTCAGCAGTTGTCTAGAAACTTCTGCAGACAAAGAAAAAGGAACTTGATGTTGGTGCATTAGAATATAACGTCACGGAAATGGAACTGGACAAAGAGAATTCTAAATTAGACTTGATTCAATTGCGTCTGATGATACTGTTTTCCATTTCTTATAGGGTTTTTTTTTTTACTTTTTTGGCGAAATGTTGACTTTTTTTATCTATTTTTTTCATTATTAGAATTTATAAATTATTTTTATAAGTTATTATTATTTTTTTAATTTTATTATTATTATTATTATTATTATTATTATTATTATTATATTATTGTTATTATTCATTAATGTTAATATTATTAGGTATTATTATTAACTAGCAAAATTAAACGCGCGCCAAATTGAGTATTTAATTGTTTGTTATAAAGAAATGAAAGATTAATATTATCAATAATAATTTAATTTATTAGATTAATATTACATATTAAATGATAATAATAAAAATTATATGTTTACAGGCCTCGGATTATACGACTTTTTCCGACTTTTTTCAAAAATACGACTTTTATCGACTTCCTTTAATAAAATGCGACATTTTTTTTTACATTTGAAAAAAAATGTAAATAAAATACATTTTTTTAGTATAAAATGTAGATTTTCTTTAGATCTTCTTCAATTCAATTATTTAATAAATTTTGAACTAAAATGATTCTTCACTAAATTAATTATTTTTAATAATTTTAATGAAATAGATCACAAATTCAATTATATCAAAATTATTTTTCAATTAAAATTTTTATGAAATTTAACAATTGTTTATAATTTAAAAAAAAAAATATCACAATAAAATTGAATTATTTTTTAAAAATTTCAATTCAAAATAAACTAAAATTCAATTATTACCCAAAATTTTAATTCAAAATCAATTAAAAATCCAATAATTACCAAAATTTTTCAATTTAAAATTTAATTTTTTACCAAGTTTTCAATTTAAAATGAAATAAAATTCAATCATTTTCTAAAATTTCTATTCAAAATTAATTATCTAAATTTTCAATCAAAAATGAACTTAAATTAAATTATCCAAAATTTCAAGTAAAATTTAATTATTTCCCAAAATTTTCAATTCAAAATGAACTGAAATTCAATTATTTTCCAAATTTAAAATCAAAATTAAATTTCATTCTCAAATATTTGAATTCAAAATTAATTGAATTTTCAATAATTTGAACTTAAAAGCATCTAAAATTTAATTATTTAATTATTTTTAACTATTTTAATAATATTCTTTGAAAATTCAACTATCTGAAACCATTTTTCAATTAAAAATGATTTTCAAATTATTGTATTTTGTTCGCATTTTCTAATAAATTTTTAGTGAAATCATCTAAAATTTTAATTACAAAACACTTAAAGTTTCAATTAATTTCAAAAATCTCAATTTTAAATCTTTGAAAATTCAATTAAATTTAAAAAATGTTTTCCAAAAATTGTTTGATAAATTATTTTTAGTTCTGTAAAATTTAATAATTGTTTGAAAATTAACAATATCTTTTGAAATTTAATTATTTCTAAAAATTTCAACTTTAACCCTTCGAAAAGGATTATTATTATTTAAAAAAAAAATTTTATTTAAAAATCTGTAAAATATTTTTGTTAAAATAAAAAACAAATCCACTTTTTTGGAATATAAATCGACTAAAACGACTTTTTTTGTGTCTTTAAGTTGATTCGAGGCCTGTGTTTTTATAATTAATATTTAATAGGTATTCGTTGGCCCCTGGTACCTTAAAAATTAATTTTTAAAAATTACTATCTTGTACGAAATTTTCTGGCGCATTTTTTTTCTCATCATAAATTTTTTGTATTTGTATACAATTTTTGAATCAATATACAACTTTAAAAAAAATTTTGTTGGTAAACGTTGTTGTGATCTAATAAATAAATATTTATTAGATAATAGTCAAGTAATCGAGTATTTGAATTAAATAAATTCTTTTTTCAGTGTATAATTAGATGATTTTTTCATTCGTTTGAATATTTTTGTCATTATTATAATTTAAGGCATATTTGACTGTATTTTGTTGAAATTTATTAAAGTTGTCTGACTGTAGTGGCTGTTACTTCTTTGACGATGATTATGAGATGAAAAATTATTTGATTTCGGTTTTGAATTTATTTAATAGAAATTGTTAGTTTAGTAAATGTTGACTTTCCTTTGACTTTAATAGTTTACGTGAATTTACTTTGTCTGACTATATAACAGATATTATTACTGAGATAATAAAAAATAAAAAAAAAAATTTTTATCCAAATAATCTGTTGACTATTACCAAAATAAATTTTTATTTTTATTAAATAATTACTAATATTTGAGTCAATTATGGTCAAATACAGAAAATTATTTTTCCAAATGCAGTTTATTTAATTTAAATAAAAATTATTTGGTTCAAGTAAATATTTATTTGTATTAAATAATTTTTATTTAATTAAATGTTAATTCAATTATATTGTATTTGTTTCAAGAAATTATTGGTTCAAATACAGTTTATTTAATTCAAAAAAAAATTATTTCGTTGAAATAAATATTTATTTGATAATAATCAAGAACCTGATTATTTGTATCAAATAAATTTTTTTTTTTTTTAGAACTCAATTTTTCTCTATTCTTTGTTTTCTGTACTAATTTTCAATTGCAGTAAAGTGAATAAGAAAAAATCGTGATTGAAATAAAAAAAATTATAAAATTTAAAATTAATAATTTTTTTTCGTTTTTCTCCTGGAAGTAACTATTTGTTTGTCTAGTCTAACTTTTCCTACTACTGTGTAAAAGAATGCACATTGTCCTATTGTTTTTTTTGTACTTTGTAACATTTTTTTCACTAGCTGTATGCTCTCTCTTTTCTTTTATCCCAAAATTCAAAGGAAAGTTCACAAACAATAATTTTGAAAATAGAAATAAAAATCTAGCCATTTATTTCATGTGCCTTTTTTGATATATATTCATATGAGAATTATTTTTTTTTTAAAAAAAGAGAAAAAAAGTGTATTTCAATGCTTTGTCAACCGAAAAATCTGTCATAAAATATAAGCCTTTCATCTCTCGTATGTACATATATGTATATATATGAAAAGTGAACATATACTGTGACAAATTTAATCCTTACTTTTTAACGAAGCCGGGCAAACTCACGAATTTGGTTACCTACACGAAAACAAAAATTCCCTCACAGCTCTCTTTTCTCTCTATACTATATTTGAGGGTTGAAGTGTTTAAAAACCCTCAGAGAGTGCTCTTTAACGTTTCAATTGCTCACAACCGGGGCGTGGTTTTCGGGATATAAACCACATATTCAAAACTCAGTAAACAAATATCTCGCCTCGGAATATAGTATTTATATAGTCAAATTGTCAACTTTACGTGAAATGAAACATTTTATTTCACGTTTATGACTCGCGTTTTCATGATAACATGTTTTCTTGTGTTCTACTGAATATGCATACGATAAATGTCATAGATATCATATAGAGTGAATAAAAAATAAGGAAATAAAGTTAGATAAAAGTAAAAACAGATTTTTTTACATATTTCACCCAGAGAAATTATGTATATATTTATCTCAGAGCAAAATAAATATTTATTTGTTGCAACTATATTTTTATTTGATTTAAATAAAAATTTTATTTATTATAAAAAAAACTCTTTATATTTACGCCAATTAAATTGGCTGAAACACCCAAAGAAATGATATATATTTCTCTCACAACCTAATAAATATTTATTTGATTTAAATAAAAAATTTTATTTACGTCAAATAAATAGGGGCTAGTAGTCTGTAAGAAAAAATATACGTTTATTTAACTCATATTATGTTTGGTTCAAATAAAACATTTCTCTGGGTGAACAAATTACATTTATTTAACTGAAATATATTATATTTGGTTTAAATAAACAGGTTGTCTAACAGTCACGGAAGTGAGAGAAAAGTCAGGGAATTTCAGAAAATTTAATTCAAAGTTAGGGAAATTTCTGTAAACTACAAAAATTAAAATTTTTTGTAAATTTAAAAATTTTTTAATCTAAAAAAACTTGAATGGTTTTTATTACCATTTGTCACTACCATTAGAAATTAATTTATTGTTAAATATGTCAGTAACCATATTTTTGTCCAAAGAAAGCAGAAATAAGGTTATAAATAAGTCAGGAAAAAATCAAAAAATGTCAGGGAAAAGTCAGGGAATTTTTTACTCAATCTTTGTTAGACACTCTGATAAACCATTTCCCTGGGTGAATTATTTATTATTTATTTTAATAATTTTTATGTACATTAATTTTTTATAATTAATATCTATTAATTTATTTTCAGAATGAATATTGATGTCTTTGGAAGGAAACTATAAATTTCTTGGACATAAGGAGTGAAAATTAGTCAACTCATTTGTGATTCGAGATGAAAATGGAGCCAAGGATAATTTATTCTAAGGTATGAATTATTTACAGTTAATAATTATAATAATAATATCGTAATACAGAGAAATATTTTATTGACGTTTATATTTAAGACAAATGTAATTTATTTAAAGCAAATAAAAATATATCTGTCTCAAAGATTCATAACTTTTTTATTTGTTTTAAGGGTCAGAATTTCTCAAACGGATCACCTAAAATTCAGAAATTTTTTTTTTAGTCTCATTTCTTTTCTCAACGGTTTCTTACAGAAAATTGTGTGGGGAATTCAAAAAAAAATTTTAATTTTCTGTAGGACGTCAAGAACACTATTTTTTAATAACATTTTATAAATAAATAATATAAAAATCTATTAAATATGAAATTTTTTCAAAATAAAAATTATATTTAGAAACTACATTTTAAGACGAGAAAAACCCTTTTTCTTTTTAATTGGTGAACAGGAACTCGAGAAAACAATTTTTTAAAATAAGACTGCAAAAGATTTTAATTGTTTATAACTTTAACAAAAAATTTTTTTTTTGACCTAAAAATTTCAGGGACTTATTTTTACCATGTAAGGAGTCAAAAGAAATGATTTTTGATTAAAAAAAAAATTTCTGAATTTTACGTGATCCGTTTGAGAAATTCTGACCCTTAAATAGAAAAAATTATTTGGCACAAATAAAATTTTATTTGGCAGTAATAAAATTGTTATTTTACTCCAATGAAATTTATTTGAAACAAATAAATAATTATTTGTCTCATAGCCTAATAAATAAATAAAACATTTCTTTGGGTGTAGTTTAATAATACAAATGATAACTAATGAAAAAATAATATAATAAATAATAATTAATAATAATAATACCAATAATAATAATAATAATTATTATTATTATTATTAGTAGTAGTAGAAGTAATATTAATTTAATTTTCTCTGACAAAAAGCGGAGTGTAATAAATTTAAATATAATTTTCGTGTATGAAAAACATGTTAGTTCATAAATGAGGCATTCCGGTATTGCTGATTAAAATTGCGTGTGTGGTTTTCGTGACTAAATGTAATTGTATGTTTTTTTTATACGCTAAATCCATGTTTTGGGCTTTACGCGCGGAAGTCACTTCTCAGGGGGTGGAATTTGTAGAGCGGATCTGTAGGTGACAAATTAAGTCGGGAATTGAAAATAGATTGCTTCATTCACTTTCCGAGTATTATATATACTTAAGTCAAAGTGTCGGAGTGTTAATTTAGAGAGTTATTAATGCACCTTGTGCTCAACAAGAAATACTATATATTATGTATATTTCCTGCACTATATACTTTTATTAAATTATACCAAACGTACTCAACTAATTACTTAATTAATGTATAATTAAATTTTGCAAAAGTTTGTGCACAGTATTGTAAAGCTTTAATTATAATAAATGCATTTTACAAAGTGCTCTCACATAGTCATTAAGGAAATGCATCTCGAATGCGTTAATTGTGTTTTTAAAAAGCAGATATTATTTATTTTATTTATTAATTATTAATTATTCTTCATTATTATTATTATTATTATTATTATTATTATTATTTTTATTATTATTATTATTATTTTTATTATATTAATTATAATTTTTTTTTCTATATGTAATGGAAAAATAAGTTTTATATTTTAAAACCTTTAGTGAATTTCTTTTCAGTAGATAAAGTATTACAAAGTCAGACACATTTTTTATATTAAATTTAACTATTCTTGTACTTTGAAAATCTACATTCATAAATACAAGTTGTGTGACTCTAATTCACTACTTCAAAGAAATTGAAAATAATTTGAAGTAGATAAAGAGTTCCAAAGTAAGACAACTTTGTATTTTACATATGAAATTTGAACTCAGAAATAATTTGTATTTCAAAGTGAAACATTTTGCATTACTAAACTAAATTTCAAGTTTGCAAAATAAATTTTTATGGAATAAATAGAAAATAATAAAATAAATTTTATAAATGTTTATTTCGATTTTTGTTTATTAAAAAAAAAAAATTAAATTCAAATAATTGGATACAAAATAATTATTTTAAAAATTTTATTTTCATATATTCTAAATGTAGGAATGAACTTGTATTCTTTAAGATCATATTCTTATATTTAGAATATAATATTTCTTTTTATACTTTTCAAACCAAATTCGTTGTCTGACTACGACATTCTTTATCTACTTGAAAGTAATTCGAAAGTTAATGATGAAGACAACGAATTTTCTATATTTTTAATTATTCATAATTTTAATTATTTTATATTATTATTATTATATTATAATATTATTATTTATTATTACAAAATTGTTCCTTGTTACACTGAAAAAAAAATTGATTTAATAAAAATTATTTATAAAAATAATCGGTTACTTGACTATTTGCAAATAAATATTTACTTGTAACAAATAATTTTTATTTGAATTAAATAAATTGTATTTGAACCAATTAATTTCTATATTTGAAACAAATACAATTTAATTGAATTAACATTTAATTAAATAAAAATTATTTAATACAAATTATTATTTGAATCAATTAAATTTTTTTTCAGTGTAGTACGAAATATTAATATTAGATATTTTCTAAATGATATTTATTATTCATTTAATTTGTATAATAATCTAACAATTAAAAATATAATCAAAGTAGGAGTTTGAAAATAATTTGCTGATAATAAGATTCAAATAATGAATTCCTTGTTCCAGTTTTCAATTTCAATGACGTTTCAAAAAAAAAAAAAAAATTGTCAAAGGTCCCCTTTAAATTTTAATATATTAAACTTTCAACAATACTTTTCACAATAGAAAAAATTCTCTTAAACTTGATTTTATGCTTTTTAATTTTTTAATCAGTTTTTATTTTATTTTTTTTTTTTGAGATAAATAATTACGGACCAGATATTCGGTTTCCTGTTGTACGTCAATGTCATCGTCTCGTGCGCCCAAAGATGTTGCGACGTCGGGTCGTTCCGCCCTACGCTACTAACGGCTACGGGGCAGAAATAGTAAACACACTTGGTCTCACAGACACAGTGCCATAAAATGACACATAAAAAAAAGAACCACCACAACTCGTAAGTTGTGACATAAATTTCCCCCCCCAAAAAAAAATTACAGTTTTTTAATTTAAAAAAATAAAAAAAATTTTTACGTGTTTTTAATATATGAAAATAAAGAAAAAAAAATTATTTTTCTTTGTCCACGTTTATATTTTTATTTACCGCGAGTTTAAAATGAGGCATGTTAAACCTCGCCGGCGCGACGTGTTTCACATTATTATTATTTATTTTTTTTTTATTTATTTTTTTTTTTTTTATGAATAATGTGAATGAAAACTTGAAAGTGATAAAATTTACAAATCGTACAACCGGGTTAAACTTGTTGAATGAGTCGTTGGCTCAAAGCGCAAGGTTTGCGATCAATCGTACGACGAGACAGAATTTTTGCACCCCCGAAGGGCGCTCCAGCATCGACATGCTGAAGGCAAGAAATGGCCCGGGCGTCGCGACGTCAGCGCTCACCCCATTCACGCGGTGATTGCAATTTCAGGGACGGGTTCGTGTAGGGCGTTCCGTCGACCCTATTTTCTGATTACTATCAATCGATATAACACCTTGAGCAACCTAATTTTCATTATTTTAATTACCCCCTTACAAATTCATTTTTCAATTTTAGAAATTTTCACGAATTTTTTCATATCCAAATTTTTTTTTTTTATATTAAAATTTAATTTAAAAAAAAAAAAAAAAATTAAACAGGAGAATAAGAAACTCTTGCATTTTTAGCAATTAGAAAAATGTAGTATCAATCAAATTGAAGTTATTTGTCTCATATTTATTTTGAAAAAAAAATTTATTTTAAGAATATTAATTAAATTTTAAAGATATTTTCCCTTCCATAATTTGATTAATCTCGAAATTTAAAAATGATAGAAATTGGAAATAAAAAGTCAATTTGTTAATGAAATTTTTAATTTCTAATAAAAATAATTTTTTAAATTAATTTTCCCAATTAAATAATTTGTTTATTAAAAAATAAAATACCTACTGGAAATTATTTTAGCTTCAAAAAATTAATTCGTAACAGCACTTCATTTCCATACATTAGTTTTCCTCGATGTTTTGAATCAAAATTTGTGAAATGCTTTTCATAGATACATAATAATTTTCTATATTTGCATAGAGAGATAAAAAAAAAATGTTAGAGAAAAAAAATCAATATTTCTATGTAGGAAGTAACTTTATAATTTTTTATTCAGAATCATAAATATCTGCAAAAATATCTTATAACAAAATTGACACAAGATATCACATTGAGATATAATTAGAATTATTTTTATATTGAAATAAAAAACTTGATACCAGGTGTAAAACAATAAATCACCTTGCAGTAAATTATCTATTGTGTCATAATTTTTTTTATAGATAAATTCAATGTTGTTTTGAGTTTTAATTTTTTATGTAATTAAAATAGAGAAAGAAATTCATTAAAATTAATAATTAGGAATAAACAATTGGAAATTTTGTATTAATATTCTTATTTCACGAATTTTGATTTAGAAATTCTAAAACATTTTTTTTCCCTCCTATTAGGCTTGAAATTAAAATAAAAAAAAAATTAAATGAATAATGTAACCGGGAGATTTTAAATGCAAGACGTACCTGATAATGGCGGGGGTGCATCGAGGCATGCGCCTGAATTGACCGATACATCTAAATCTAAAATTCCGAAATACAAAGATCACAAGAGTGTGAAGAAATTCACCTTAGTGTCTCGGAATTCTCATAAAGAGACAATTAATTACGATCACTCATTCAGAAAGAGGGAAGAAAATAAGATTATTTTCTTCTCTCTTGTGTTTCACATTTAATGTATATAATTAAATGACAGACAAATTTTCCAAGAATGTAGATTTTATTTTCTAAAAGAAAATTTATTAAATTATAATACATTGTTTTATTTGGAGTAAATACATATACAACTATTTTTTTTAAAAGTACCCTATATAATTAATTCCTACTTTGCTTGGTCATCACAATCGCACGTAGGTTTATAAGAAAAGATAATAAAATAGAATATAACAAATAAAATATGTCATTTGATAACGTGCACCTTTCAGACTTATCACTTTTATAAATCATTTTCAACGCTTTTTTTCTCTCTCTCTCTCTTTTTTTTGTATGAAAAAGTATTATTAGTGAATGATTCAATTTATGTACATATTTTTTTTTGTCACCCACGAAAAATTATTGATTTATAAATATAATTATCTCTATATGATTTCATAAGAGGTTTGCACCTGATATTACGCCAGAAGAAATTTTTTTTTAAAATACCGTTTTTACACTGGTTTTGTTATATACCGATTAATAAATATCAGTGTCATTTTCTAGCAGTGAAAGTCATTCAATGCTAATGATGAAAATTGATATTATTTTATTCGCATACTCAATTTTTGGTGTTATTGCCATGACTGACACAATCTGACCACAATAGACCTCCGCAAGCTATCGATGTTATGATATAAATAATTCCCTGCAAGAAAATAATTTTTTTTATTAAAATAAACGATTTTTAAATTTTTATTTAAATTAATCAGTAACAAAAATAAATTTTTATCTAATTTTATTCCTTAAAGTGAGGCTAAATTTCAGTTGCAACTGAATTTCATTGAACTGATACGAAATTAAATTGATTCAAATTTAGAGTAGATAATGAAAGATATGCTTTTATCAAATAATGCATAATAAATATTTATTTGTTTTATTTACTCACAATGATAACGGCAGCAAAAATGACGTAAACTTTAACATTTTTCCAAAATAGAGAGCGTGCTAAATTTCTGCTTGTTTTTCTGAATGTCACTGACTAAATAATAATTCAATTAATTAATCATTTTTATTTGGATTTAGAAATTAATTTAAATAATTGAAACTTACATTTGCTGTCAAATTTTCTGTTTTGTTTACAAGTAACTCTAATCTTTCTCCTCGCATTGCTAAATTATCAATGTTCTTAACCATAATGTCTTTGAGTTCATCTAATTCTCCGTGAACCCTCGATAATGTATCAATATCCTTAGATTCGCTATAATGTTTCTGAAAAAGTCGATATAATTAATTTAAATTTTCCAAATGATCAATTCATTTAATTTATTTTTTCATTATTTGTAAAAAAAATAGCATTTTTAGTAGTAATTTCATAAATAAAATTTTTTTTATTCTTTGGATGAAAATTTACCATTTCGTTAGCCAAAACTCGTCCGAATTCAGTGTTCATGGCATACGCTAATGCAGTTAGGGCACCTTCTCCATAAACAGCCTGAAATCTTCTCTTGACTTCATTGAGAAAAAGAAATGCTCTAGATCTTTGAAAATCCTATAAACGAATAGAAATTTGATTCCAATTCAAATCGAAATTTGAAATCTTTTCAATTTTAGAATATACTTTTTTAGGGTGTCTAACAAGGATTGAGAAAAAAATTCCCTGACTTTTCCCTGACATTTTTTGATTTTTCCCTGACTTTTTAATAACCTTATTTCTGCTTTCTTTGGACAAAAATATAGTTACTTAGATATTTAACAATAAATTAATTTCTAATAGTAATAACAAATGGTAATAAAAACCATTCAAGTTTTTTTTAGATTAAAAAATTTTTAAATTCACAAAAAATTTTAATTTTTGTAGAAATTTACATTAATTTTTCCTGACTTTGAATGAAATTTTCTGAAATTCCGTGACATTTCCCTGACATTTCCTTGACTTTTCCTGATCGTTAGACACCCTGTTTTTATAATGTCAATAATTCTCAAATTTACTTACATCGTCAGTGATACACATATAAATAATTCGATTTTCACAAATATAGTGAAACAAATAGGGTCCTTGAGAATAAGTTAATTTATCGTCAGTGGGGGGAATTTTTGCCAAAATTTGTTCAGTGACCTCTTCAAAATTTCCCGTACATGATGCATATTTTGCCAAAACTGTCGGACCACGAGCGACAACACTGTATAAAATCGGCATTTTGTTGCTGAAATAAAATAACTACTAATTATTATATTAATAAAAAATTATTTTATTATTAAAAAAAATTTAGTAAAATTTATATAATTATTGTTTTATTTTATGCTGGCAATTTGAAAATAAAAATTTGTTTTTTCTATTTTCAGATTTTGTGCGTTGTTGTCATTCATCGCAGTCATAAACGTCATAATAGGTATATAAGTCGCAGAAATGATTCATCAAACTAATTGACAAGTGGATAAACAAAAAGGTATGAGAAAAAAAAACATGTTATTAAATGAGATACAGAATATATAGATATATATGAAATAGCGAAGCATCTTAATTATAAAATTTTGATAAGGATTCTAACCTCATTTGACAGGTTAAAATAATAAGACAAACAAAAATAAAAATAGAAAGGGATTTTATTTGTACAATAATAATTAGTGATTAATTACGCCATAGTTGTCATTGTTATAGAATAATAATTGAAAGAAAGACACACCAACCTTGATTGTAATGAGAAATTAAATAAACGCACTTCTAATTTTCCTTCAATATTGGACAATCAATTTTGTCCTCTTTGCACTTTTTTGGATTCACATTAGAATATAAATTTATTCGTTCTTGATTTAATAATTAATTAGATAATTTTTCCAGCTTTAATATAATGTTAAATTTTTTGTAACACCCACTTTTTTTATTTTTACTCCAAAACAAAGAACTGGTACAAGTGTCATTTGATAGTTTGGATAAATTCCGTTGGAGGTGCTGGTGTCGTTCGATAATTAAGCGGGGAGATTTAAATTCTATTATTTACGCTTTTATTAATTTAACGTGGTAATATTATTTTATTTATGAAAAATGGTAGCATTAAATCTAAGAAAGACATTTTGTCGTCGAGAATTGTATTTTCAAACGGTTTTTTTTTTTTGCAAATCTTTCTGATACAATTAATTTTATAATTTACTGATTTAATTTTACTTTTATTTTATTTATGTTTTAAATAAAATTGTTTTATTTTCTATTTTCCAGGTGTTCGTTTCTGGAGGATGAGGTGTTTGTTGCGGAGCAGCTCCTGGAGGAGATCGGGCATAGCTGAGCGCAGTTCAATGTAAGTTGATTAACTTTTTTTCTGGATTTTCGTATTTAAAAAATTTTAAATTATTAATATAATTAAGAGAGTTTTGTTTAGAAAAATTAATCCATAATTTTAGAAATAATTTGTATTTAAAATATATGTTTTTTTTTAATTTTCAGCCAATTGTAGCAGAGGAGGGAAGGATCGTCTATTTAAAGAAAAATTATATGCTGTCATCGTATTTTTAACACGTTGCGGAAAATCGCAAATGGTAAGTTTTTTAATTCAATAATTAATTGTAAACAAATTAAAATTTAAAAAATTTAGAAATAATGATAAAAATTATTATTTTAAAAATTTTTTGTTATAAATAATATTCACTGCCAGTAAAAAATATCAAAAAATATCTTTTTAGAAATATCAATAGTGAAAAAAAGAAACAATTAATTATTATTTTTTTTTTATTATTTTTAAAACATAATTTTAAATCCAATTGTAATAATTAATTGTACGCTCAAATTAGGAATATACTTTATTTAACATACATATTTTTTTTTTAATTTTCAGTCTATTCCAGGGAGGAAACTTTCCTCTTTTTAAAGAGTGAGAGTATCGTGTCATCGTATATTTAACACGGCGAAGAAATTCGCAATAGGTAAGTTGGTTAATTTTAAACAAATTTATTTTATTTTTAAAAAGAAAAAAGTTAAAAATATTCAGTAAGATTTTAGAAAATAGTTGTATAAATTATTTAAATTTTAATGAATTTTTATTTTTTTCAGTGTTTTTTCAGTCCATGTCCAATAAACAATCTGAAGGACAGGAAGGATGTGGAAGAAGAAAAGTGGCCCCTGCATATTTTTTTTTTATTAAAATTTTTTGTTTTCTTTTTATTTTTTTTTAATAACATTTTTTTTAACGCTCCCGGCCTCGCGCAGAAGTGCGAGCAAGAAAGAGGGATCCTCGGGAGCTGGCCTGAAGCGCTCGAGAAGTGGCGATGTAACTTTTGCCCCGACGTGGGATTCGCCGATCGGTGAGTGGTTTTTTATTAAACCCCTTCCCTGTTTTGAAATAGTTAATCTCGATTTCCATCATTTTGAAATCAATTAGAATAAAATTATTTAAAGATTAAAATTTTTTTTGATATTATGTTTAATTTATTATAAATTTTGAAATAATTTTCTCGACATAAAAAAATTTTTAATTGATTACATTGGTAAAATATTTTTAATTTTGATTTTATATAAGTTTTTAAAAACAGGGAAGGGAACAGCAACATAGTGACATCATTGACAAAAAGTATAATATTATAAAAATAATTATTATAATTATTATAATTATAATATATTATCGTAACCTTTAATATTAATATCTTTTGTCGATATTTTTTATTGTTTCTATATTATGTTATTTTTACTGTATAATTTGTTTAAAATTTAATATTTTGTAATTTTTCATATGATTCAACATAATTTTCTTTCTTTTTAAAAAAGTAATTAAAAATGTAGTTTTTTATTTTGAAAGTTAGCAATATAAATTTTTCTAATTTTTCTATATTAAATGTTTGATTTAATTAGAGTTTAAAGTTAATGCATGTGGAATTTCAAAGTTAAAATTTTTTGCTAAATTCATTTAATGACTAATTAAATGTTTTTCTTTCAGAAACAAGATTAGTTAGTTTTTTTTAAGGAATGGGGTAGTTTTTTTTCGTTTTAAATATAGCTACAGGTAGGGAAATCGGAAAAATTTGATAGTTTTTTTCGTTTTAAATATAGCTATAGGTAGGAAAATCGCGGAAAATTGTGTTAGTTAGGTTGTGTCACATGTAAGTAACTGAAATACCAGTGAAAATATATTTTACTTGAAATTTTTATCTTTATGTCACTATGTTGTGCCAAATTTTAGTTTTTAATTTATAAATTTTGTTGATTGTATTAAATTTTTGACATGTGCATGTTTAATTGACTATTATTTTCAGTTGAATCATCGTGGTGAGAAATATTTTTATACTTTGAATTTTATTAATCATTTATTTTTTCAGAAATTTGTATATTGTATGTTTCTTCTAAAAAAATATATTGCACACTTTGTTCTGATTGATTCGTAATTATTTTCGGCTTTTTAGTTTTAAAATCGTAAAATTTATTTTTTAATAATTAAATACACCACAAGGGTTAAAAAAGGCGCGATTAAAAAAAAATTGTTTAACAGTTCACTAAAAATATTCAATATCGTAAAGTCTCCGTTAATGCAAATAGGGACCCGCAATTTTTTTTTACAGAAACATAAAATGACATAAAAATATAATTAGTTGTATAAATTTACAACTTATTGTAAATTTATGGCCTAAAAATGGTATTTTAAAAAAATTATTTTACATAACTACTTATGCGTGAGAATTTCATTAAATATATTTACAGTCAATTTAGATTTTATTATCATTTCATGCAAAGAACATTTGCGTAAATACAGTCGTGTTTTATTTTCAGAAGTTTTTGAACAATAATCATTTTAAAAAAATTTTCCTTGAAAAATTTTGAATTTTAAATTCCTTTTTTCACAGTGAGCAATATATTTTTTTAAAGAAACAAACAAAAATTTACTTTACTTTAAGATTTATTTTATAAGAAGATTTATATATATGTAAATACTTTTTTTAAAGAATATTTTTATTTATAATGCCCCAAATTAATAATTGACTAAATTTTTAAACAAACCTAATATTTTGGAAAAATAAAGAGATTATAATTTCAGTTTCCTTAAAAAAATTACAATAGCGGTTAAAGTAGAAAAAGTTTTTTAAAATTATAAATATTTTTTACGATTTAGAAAAAAATCGTAAAAAATCAGAGTTTAAAGGTACATTTTATTATTATTAATTGACAATGCTTTTACTGTCAATATTATTATAGTGATAATAAAAAAATTGTCAATTAAAAAATCTTCTACTCCACTATAAAAAAATCTCAATTGAGAGAGAACGTCCATAAAAAAAATCATCAATTAAATTTAAATCATTAGTTTGGAGGAAAAAAAAAATCAATTGATAAAAACTCGTTACGTCGCAATAAAACTCTGATGAAATATTATCAATTTAAAGAAATTTTTATTACATTAGTCGCTATTTAAGGAATTTTATTTTGATTGAAGGAATCTTTTTTTCTGAATGTATAATCTGTATCATGAGATAGGACTTAATTTGTTATTTCGGACATAAGAGAAAGTTTAGAATCTTTTAAAATGTCTCGTATATTTTTTAGTGTTCCTTTATCCCCAACTAAATGAGAGAATCATTGTTAAACTAATAGGAATGAGAATAATTCTCATTTCCGTATACTCTCCCATGAAATTATAATTTGACATGAAGAAAAAAAAAATCAACACACATATAGTATGGTACGGTCGATTATTTAAGACCTCTATAAGGGACCTCGCGTTTTGCGCATGTGTTCGCATTTTATTATTTCCCCAAAGGAAAGTTGCGAGTCAGTTCCTCTCTTCTGTTTAGTGTGCGAGTTTGATATGTGAATATTTTTAACATACACGTGTCTTTTATGTTACTATAATTGAAGAAGATATATAATGAAAACGCGTATAGTGGATAGATAACGGTATGTCTTTGGGAAAAGACGAGTCGCGTGCTTTTGCTTCCGACAAGTGCATTCACTAGCTTCAGTTATTCTCAGCGACCGCCTGTGAAAACGTCGGCTTTCAAATTGTTTTTATAATATAATTACAGTTAAGTTTTGAGTGTAATTTTTTTTTTTTTCATCTATTTTGTTTATAATAATTTTTCGGGCGTGTTTTTCACGCCCACGTGGTGAAAGAGCCGCGAAAGTATTTTAGAGTGAAAATTATGGGTAAGTAAGAATGTTATTATTTCTCGCATGTGGTGCATGCAATTTTTCATTCGGAGTCGATTTCATTGAGAGATTCATTTTTTTAAGAATATTTACAATTTTTTTTTTTACAATAAAATTTTTTTAAATTATTTATTAAAATTTTGATAATTTGATACTTTATCATTTTGAATTTAATCACTGTTTTGTTATTCTGAAATTTTTAAATAGAAAATTTAAATTTGCAAAAAAAAAGTCGAAACGATTTTTTTTTAAGTATAGCATACCGGAAATTCTCAAGCCGTTTCATTGTTAATTATATATTTTAACGTATAGGCAGATGAAATGTTACGGTTTCTTAAGTGCAAATATTCTGCGGAAGTTATTTTTTAATATATATTTTTTAAAATTATAAATAAATGAATTAATAAATAAATATTAATAAATGTTTTTTTTATTTGTTATTTTATTTAATAATAATTAATTAATTAGACTGTTACGATTTAGCGATTTTTATTGGTAGAAAATTATCTGAAAATCTTGAACGTGTTCGGAGGGAAATTTTTTGTAAAATAATATATGCAGCACTTCTCGTGTTCACTTGACACTTGAGACGTTATTATCACTTGATTTTGAAGTATTCTTTTGTGTAGGCTCGAGTTTTCTTTTAGTTAAAAATTTTTTTTACACACAATGAATTTTTTCTTAAAAAAATTCTTGAAATACTTATTACAAAAATAAACTCTAATATCGATTCACTAGAATCATAGTCTCTATATCTAATTATTTAACTCTAAATATACTTCCATAATATTTTATATTTTTAATATCAATAATTAATAATAATTTTTTTTTTAATAATGCAGGGAAATTAATTTAATTTACTATATTTAATTTAAATAGTAAGTGAATTTAAATTAAATAGCAAATTCAATTTAAAACTACTATTTAAATTTAAATATAGTAAATTAAGCATAGAAAATTTTTTAGTGAATTTATAATTGTATAATTTAATTTATTGAATAATTATAAATTTTTAAACCCATTATTTGCAAATGCTATTTTAAAACATCAATTTATCACTCTTTTGTAAATAATCATTTTGTTTTTTTTTTTTTGGTCAAGAATAACTACATTTTTTTGTATTATAATTATTTATCACGAAAGGTCACGTCGGGTTACTTTTCTCACCAATAAGGAAATTTTCTTAGTTGTACGTTATATCACTCATGTATTTTTTGCGCGTTAACGTCAAAATGCTAATTTTGCATACACTTACAATGTTCTCAATTGACAAAGTTCTCTTTATTCTCCACTCAATAATTATTTTTCTTTTTTTTACCATTGAATATAAGTTTAGAAAACTTTGATAAACGCAGAAAAAAAATTTGATTTAAAATAATCAGTTACTTTATTTATCAAATAAATATTTATTTTTATTGAATAATTATTATTTGAGTTAATTCAAATGAAAATTATTTGGTTCAAGTAAATATTTATTTAATAATAGTTGGTTCTTTGGAAAATTTATCTATCTATATATTAATAGTATAATAATAATATAATAATTATTATTACAGGCCTCGGATTATACGACTATTTCCGACTTTTTTTCAAAGATACGACTTTTTTCGACTTATTTTAATAAAATGCGACTATTTCGACTTTTTTTTCATTTTTTAAAAAAAAATTTGTAAATAAAATATATTTTTTTTAGTATAAAATGCAGATCTTCAGATTTTCTTTATTTCAATTATTTAACAAATTTTTAACTAAAATTTTTCACTAAATTAATTATTTTTAATAATTTTAATGAAATACATCACAAATTCAATTATATTAAAATTATTTTTCAATTAAAATTTTTATGAAATTTAACAATTGTTTATAATTTTAAAAAAATATCAGATAAAATTACCAAAAATTTTTAATTCAAAATCATAAATCAATTCAATATCAAATAAAATTCAATTATTTTCCAAAATTTCAATTTAAAATCAAATAAAATTCAATTATTTTTAAAAATTTTAATTTAAAATTAATTATTATTAAAATTTTCAATAAAAAATCAATTAAAATTAAATTATTATCCAAAATTTCAATTAAAATTCAATTATTTCTCAAAATAATTGGAAAAATTAATTATTTTCAAAATTTTAAATTCAAAATTAACTAGAATTCAATTATTTTCCAAAATTCCAATTTAAAATCAAAAAAATTCAATTATTTTTAAAAATTTCAATTAAGAATTAATTATTATCAAAATTTTCAATCAAAAACAAATCAAAATTGAATTATTATCCAAAATTTCAATTGAAATTCAATTATTTTCCAAAATTTCAATTTAAAATCAACTAAAATCAATTATTTTTAAAAATTTCAATTCAAAATTAATTATTATCAAAATTTTCAATCAAAAACCAACTAAAATTAAATTATTATCCACAATTTCAATTATTTTCAAAAATTTGAATTTAAAAGCTTCTAAAATTTAATTTTTTTTAATTTTTTGAAATTATATAATTTCAATTATAACTCTAAGGAAATTCAATTATCTGAAATCATTTTTCAATTAAAAATGGTTTTCAAATTATTGTATTTTTTTCGCAATTTCTAATAAATTTTTTTATTGAAATCATCCAAAATTTTTAATTAAAAATCACTTGAAATTCAATTAATTTTGAAAATCTCAATTGTAAATCTTTGAATATTTAATTACATTTAAAAAATGTTATCTAAAATTATTTGATAAATTATTTTTAGTTCTGTAAAATTTAATTATTGTCTGAAAATTAACAAAATCTTTTGAAATTCAATTATTTCTAAAAATTTCAACTTTAACCCTTCCAAAAGTATTATTATTTAAAAAAAAAAGATTTATTTAAAAATCATTAAGCTGAAGAACATAACGTTAATTGTTTAACGGTTACAAAAACCAATTTATTAAAGTTTGTTCAAATTTTAATCATTACCAATCGAAAGAGCATGAAAAAATGTGTCGGAATCCATGAGTTTTATTCCAAATTTGATGTCGGAAAGATATGAAAAATCAAAATTAATTTAACCTTTCTCAAACGTTAACGATTGCGTTATCGGGTGCTTATTAAATTTTGATTTTTCATATGTTTCCGACATCAAATTTGGAATAAAACTCATGGATTCCGACACATTTTTTTATGCTCTTTCGATTGGTAATGATTAAAATTTGAACAAACTTTAATTAACACCCGTTAACGCGATCGTTAACGTTTAAGAAGCCATAACTTCTTCAATATTTTGATTTTTCATATCTTTCCGACATCAAATTTGGAATAAAACTCATGGATTCCGACACATTTTTTTATGCTCTTTCGATTGGTAATGATTAAAATTTGAACAAACTTTAATTAACACCCGTTAACGCGATCGTTAACGTTTAAGAAGCCATAACTTCTTCAATATTTTGATTTTTCATATCTTTCCGACATCAAATTTGGAATAAAACTCATGGATTCCGACACATTTTTTTATGCTCTTTCGATTGGTAATGATTAAAATTTGAACAAACTTTAATAAGCACCCGTTAACGCGATCGTTAACGTTTAAGAAGCCATAACTTCTTCAATATTTTGATTTTTCATATCTTTCCGACATCAAATTTGGAATAAAACTCATGGATTCCGACACATTTTTTTATGCTCTTTCCATTGGTAATGATTAAAATTTGAACAAACTTTAATTAACACCCGTTAACGCGATCGTTAACGTTTAAGAAGCCATAACTTCTTCAATATTTTGATTTTTCATATGTTTCCGACATCAAATTTGGAATAAAACTCATGGATTCCGACACATTTTTTTATGCTCTTTCGATTGGTAATGATTAAAATTTGAACAAACTTTAATAAGCACCCGTTAACGCGATCGTTAACATTTAAGAAAGTTTAAATTAATTTTGATTTTGATTTTTCATATCTTTCCGACATCAAATTTGGAATAAAACTCATGGATTCCGACACATTTTTTTATGCTCTTTCGATTGGTAATGATTAAAATTTGAACAAACTTTAATAAGCACCCGTTAACGCGATCGTTAACATTTAAGAAAGTTTAAATTAGTTTTGATTTTGATTTTTCATATCTTTCCGACATCAAATTTGGAATAAAACTCATGGATTCCGACACATTTTTTTATGCTCTTTCGATTGGTAATGATTAAAATTTGAACAAACTTTAATAAGCACCCGTTAACGCGATTGTTAACGTTTAAGAAGCCATAACTTCTTCAATATTTTGATTTTTCATATCTTTCCGACATCAAATTTGGAATAAAACTCATGGATTCCGACACATTTTTTTATGCTCTTTCCATTGGTAATGATTAAAATTTGAACAAACTTTAATAAGCACCCGTTAACGCGATCGTTAACATTTAAGAAAGTTTAAATTAATTTTGATTTTGATTTTTCATAACTTTCCGACATCAAATTTGGAATAAAACTCATGGATTCCGACACATTTTTTCATGCTCTTTCGATTGGTAATGATTAAAATTTGAACAAACTTTAATAAATTGGTTTTTGTAACCGTTAAACAATTAACGTTATGTTCTTCAGCTCAATTAAAAATCTGTAAAATATTTTAGTTAAAATAAAAAAAATCGACTTTTTCGACTTTTTTTTAAATATAAATCGACTAAAACGACTTTTTTTGTGCCTTTAAGTCGATCCGAGGCCTGTTATTATTATTTACCATTATTAAAATAATAAAAAAAATTTTAATTTTTTTTTTAATTAATTATTATTTTAGTTGATAAATTATTATTATTTTTATTATTATTATTTTTATTATTATTATTATTATTATTATTATTATTATTATTATTATCCTATTATTTAGAATAATTAGGCAATAATTATAAAATTTTAAAAAAAATTAAAAAATGGTTATTTGGATGAAATAATTTTTTTCAGTGCTGAAATTAGTTAAAATTAATAATAATATTAATATTAATTGTTTGTAAAATAATGAATTATTATTAAAATATTTATTAATATCAAGAATATAAAATAATGCAAATTTGAGAATTGCTGTTATTTGCAATTTTTGAATCTTATGGAAGTACATAAGCTATATTTAAAAGAAAACGAACAATTCAAATTTTCGCTCTGCTGAACATGAATTTAGGCCCGTAATAATGAAAGCCTTGTGTGCATCGTTCAGGAACAGGGATTTGTGTATTCAATATATATATATATATAGTTTTAATCGCGGGTCATCTTCTTATTCGATGGCTTTCTGCTATTTACAAGATAAATATTTACAAATTTTTTTATGTACTTCAAAACAAAAATTTTTTTTCACATATATGGATAAAATATATAGTTGAGGGAATTGTGTATTGTTACCAGTGATATCAGTAATAGTCTAATCTCATTGTCAGGTACTGACGTTATCTATTAATGATTTAATCTCTTCATGATATAATTTTAAAAACAAGTCCCATTGCTTTTAATCAATTCTAATTTTTAGTTGTAAATTTGTGTAAATTTTATTCGAGTTTTATCGTGCGTTTAAATTTAAATATTCTTTGAAAAAACAAAATTAGGTATTATGGAAATAATGAGATGAAATCATGTTTTATTTCTAGCTTCTAAAATAGAAAAAAAAGGGGGAAAAAATCCAAGATGTGAAATAATTTTCTACTATATTTTTCCTTAGATCGTATTAAATAAGTTAATTGTTTTCTTTCTTTTTTTTTTTATGAAAAAATGGTGATTAGCATTAATTATGTTTACCATGAAATTATCTTAATTAATATTAAAAGTTCGAAATGGTAAAAATCTTAGAAATTTAAATAAAATTATTTAAGTAAATTAAGTGAAATTAAAAATTTAATTAAAATTTGTAATTAAAAATAAAGTTTATTAATTGAATTTATTATAATTGCAGATAGATCTAGATTGGCATATGTGACAGCAGCGGCTGTTGGCGCTGGTACAGCATTTTTCTTTGTCTGGTGGTGGTGGACAAAAAGACAAAAAGATCAACCACCATCACGTTGGCGAAAAGTTGGCGAACTAAGTGATTTAATTTGTTTTCCCGTTAAATCATTGGGGCCAGTTAGAATGAATGCCATGGAATGTACCCCATTGGGATTAAAATCCGGTTGGCTGAGAGATAGAACCCTCATGGTCATCGATCTCAATGGGCAATTTGTCACTGGCAGACAACTGCCCAGGATGGTTCAGGTTCGTATTGCAAATTTCATATTTATAACAATAATTATTCATTCACAGTGTGTGCCATCGTATTTGATATATGGGACACAGTGTTAATTATTCACAGAAATTAACATTCGAGAGTTGTTATTATACTTTCACTCGTAATCATTTTTAGTTCACATTGAAAATATTTTAATTATATTCTTCCTACAATGTTTATATTGTTAATATTATAATAATTATTTAATGCTATTCTTTAATTATTATCATTTTAATATTTTTACTATCAAATAAATTTAGAATAAATGTATAATTTTTTTAACGAAACGCACAGAAAAAAAAATTTATTTCAAATAATCGACTATTATCAAATAAATATTTACTTGAACGAAACAATTTTTTTTGAATTAAATAAATTATATTTGGAACAATAATTTTTGTTACTGAAAAGAAATATTTGATTGACTCAAATAATAATTATTTGATACAAATAAACATTTATTTAGTACACTGAAATTTATTATTATGAAATTTATATTTATTTGATTCCAAAAAATCGGTTACTTGACTGTTATCAAATAAATATTTACTTGAACTGAATAATTTTTTTGAATTAAATAAACTGTATTTGGAACAATAATTTCTGTTCTTGAAAAAAAATATTTGATTGACTCAAATAACAATTATTTAATATAAATAAAAATACATTTGGTAAACTGAAATTTATTATTATGAAATTTATATTTATTTGATTCCAATAATCGGTTACTTGATTATTATCAAATTTACTTGAACCGAATAATTTTTATTTTAACTAAATAAACTGTATTTGGTTTAATAATTTCTATTTTTGAAACAAATATTTGTTTGACTCAAATAATAATTATTTGATACAAATAAACATTTATTTAGTACACTGAAATTTATATTTATTTAATTCCAATAAACGGTTACTTGACTGTTATCAAATAAATATTTACTTGAACCGAATAATTTTTTTGAATTAAATAAACTGTATTTGGAACAATAATTTCTGTTCTTGAAAAAAAATATTTGATTGTCTCAAATAACAATTATTTAATAGAAATAAAAATATATTTGGTAGACTGAAATTTATTATTATGAAATTTATATTTATTTGATCTCAATAAACGGTTACATGACTGTTATCAAATAAATATTTACTTGAGCCAAATAATTTTTTTTTAAATTAAATAAATTATATTTGGAACAATAATTTTGGTTATTGAAAAAAAAAAAATTTGATTGACTCAATAATTATTTAATACAAATAAAAATATATTTGGTACATTGAAATTTATTATTATGAAATTTATTTGATTCCAATAATCGGTTACTTGATTATTATCAAATTTACTTGAACCGAATAATTTTTATTTTAACTAAATAAACTGTATTTGGTTCAATAATTTCTATTTTTGAAACAAATATTTGATTGACTCAAATAATAATTTATAAAATAAAAATTTATTTAGTAATAATTAACCAATTATTTGAAATTTATTTAAAAAAATTAAATTTATTTATTTACAAAAACAGTTCCCGTACTCCAAATGGACCAAAAATAATTTTTTTTTCAGTTTTGTACAGTAATGAAAAAATAATATAACGGTTAAATATTATAATTATACCATTATAAAATTTATTCTTTCTTTCATGTGACTGGAAAAATAAGAGAATTGTATCAACAATTGTTTTTATTTTCAAATTAATGAGTATTTTATATGTTTGTATATATAATAATAATAATAATAATGCGGATGTTCGCTTCATTGAACCGTTATTCGTGTCGTTTAAAGAGTAGCATTTAATATTTATTATTAATGATGATGAAAAAACAACTAAAATATATTTAAAATTGATGTTTCATCATAAATCCGCTAAGTTAACAACCCAGAAAGAATAAATTGTGATGCTTGTACAGCTGCGATTACTATTTGTAAATTGATCAATCTCTTATCTTTTATATTCAATTCTTAACTAATGCATCTCTTTTTGTCTTAATTTACACCCAGTTGACAATATTTGACATGTTTCACTGTGAATGATTAAAATCATAATTACTTGCTGATGATAATATCTGTCATTTATAATTATAGTCTTTATTTTCTTTTTTATACTCTGCCGAGAATTTCTCTAGCAGAAAATATGACATTGTCATTTTTTTTTCCCTACAGAAATTATTTCCGTTTTTTTGTTTTTCTAATTTTTTTCTGATTTTTTTATTTTTCTTCTTATTTGTAGTTTTTATAGTTAACAGTTAAAAAAAAGAGTAAAGTAAATCTCATACTTTTGGAGGAAAAAAAACACTTTTGATAAAAAAAAAATAAAATTAATTTTTGGATTATAAATTCAGAGTGTCGATTATGTAATTTTATTTGACTTTGATGTCAAAATTAAATTCGTTTTGGTGTTAAAATCAGATTTTTTTTACGAATTCATTTTTTTATTGCAATTTGACGTCAAATTTAAATTTATTTTTTGATTGCAACACAGAAAATTAAAAGGCATTAAAATAAGCTGCAACGTTTATTGTTTTAATACAATTTTACTTATTTTAATACCAAAATGGATTAAAATAAGCAAAATTGGATTAAAATAATAAGCGTTGCAGCTTTCAATTTTCTGTGAATTTAATAATCAAATTTTAATTTTTTTTTGCAATTTTAAGTCAGATTTAAATTCAATCAATAAATACAGTGAAACCCACGTATATCGGATTCCAAGGGACCGGTAAAAAATCCGATATAAGCGGTAATCCGAATTATGCGGGTCCGATATACGTGGGTTTCACTGTAAATTAAAATTTAATATTTAAATTGAATATAAATAAAAATAAATTTGATTTTGAAATCATAGTTAAATCAAATTACATAATCGACACATTGAATATTTTTAATTCTATTGGAAATTGAATTTTTTTTTTGAAATTAAAAAATTTATTAATGATGTATTTTTTTTTTTATTTTAAAGGTATCGCCAAGTGTATCGGAATCGTATTTGACATTAAGAGCACCGGGAATGATGGCTGTGTCAATTGATCTTGCAAGGATTCGGGGAAAAAGTTTTCGGGCCGCAGTTTGGGGCCAAGCGGTACACGCATGTGATTGCGGCGAAGAAGTTGCAAGATGGCTATCCCGTTTTCTTCTTCAAGAAGACGTTGGACTTAGACTCGTTTATTATCCGTTAGATCGTCCATCGCGAGAAGTGCGAACTAAAAACAAGATCTTCCCGTTGGCTGAAACGATCGACACGGTATGTTTCTGAATTTTTTTTTTTTTCCTTTTTTTTAATAGTCCAATTTTATCTGTCGTCGTAGCGATTCTTGAGATTAACGGAATATGCGAAAACCATCTGGCAATTGTGGAATGAGTTTTATGTTTTGAAAATTGCACATATGTATGATTTTACGATGATATTTGATTTGAGATTACAGGAAGTCGACTTCACTTTCTTGCGAATGATTTTTCGATCAATTTTGATACAGTTATGCAGATGGAAAAATGAAAATTATTCTTTATTAATTTATTTTAGTTTATCCCATAAAAATCATTAGTTAAAATTTTCATTTTAAAGAATTTTATTAGATATAATTATTTTTTAGACGAATATTTATTTTTCCAATTAACATTTGACTGAATTAATTTTTAAACAAATTTTTACTTAACATAATTCTTATATATCGAAATTTTATTTGGCAGAATTCTTAAAACGCCGAATTTTTATTTGTCCGAAATTGCAAATGGCCGAACAAACAATCGATTTCGGCGCGATTTTTAAAATCAGCCAATCAAAAATTATCCATAAAATTGTGATTGGCTGATTTTAAAAATCGCGCCGAAATCGATTGTTTATTCGGCCATTTGCAATTTCGGACAAATAAAAATTCGGCGTTTTAAGAATTCTGCCAAATAAAATTTCGCTGCCTAAGAATTCTGTTAATTAAAAATTCTTTAAAAAAGAAATTCTGACAAATGTTAATTTGAAAATTTGAAAATTCGTGTAAAAAATAATTATATGTAATGAAATTGTTGAAAATGAAAATTCTCACCAATAATTTTTATGGGATAATCATGCACCTCATTTTATCAATTGGAACGGATTTAATTTGTGTGGATTTTAGAAGAAACGGAAATTTTCGAATAAGAGAGATGCAAACAAAAAACGAATTCTAATTTTAATTCTAATTTTGAAGAATTTTTTTATTTTACAGGGAGCATATCCTGATGCAACTAGTTATACATTGTTAAATGAAACGTCATTAGCAGATTTAAATAATCGTTTGGAGGAACCAGTAAATACGTTAAATTTCCGAATGAATTTTGTAGTGAAGGGAGCAGAGGTGTTGGAAGAGGATTTTTGGGATTGGATAAAAATTGGAAATACGATTTTTCGTAATGTAAAGCCATGCACGAGATGCATTTTTACGACAGTTGATCCCGAAACTGGGAAAAAAAATCCCAAAGTCGAACCTCTTAAGACACTCAAAGGGTAATTTTCACTCATAATTATAAAGTCATTTATAAAATTTTTATTCATTAATTTAAAAAAATTTTTGTATGATAAATGTAACGTAGTAAGTATAATAATAATGATAATATATTAACACATAGTAATTGTTTAATAATTAAAAAATTTTTCATTGAAGGTACCGACAAATAACGGATCCTGAAATACGTTCAGCGACAGGAGAGAGTCCTATTATGGGAATTCACTTAGGATTAAGAAGTAAAAATAGCACAGTTCGCCTTGGTGATCCTGTTTATGTTAATATTTTGGAAAAGGAAGAAGCAATTTTGAGTACGCCTCCATAGCATCATCGATGGGGTTCGTGTGATGAAGAAATTGTCCTCGATACCGAGGACATGGAGCAAATTACTTGATAATTTGTAATTTATTATTGAATATTTTACAAATTGCATTAAAAAAAAAAAAAAAACGGATGAGAAACATTTTTTATACCAGTGGAAGAGATTTTTTCTTCCACTTTTTTTTAAATCGTAAATCAATATTTTTTGATAAAATGGATAAAAAGTACAAATGTGATTGAACAATTTTTTAGTATTTAAAAAAAAAAGTAAATAAATTACAAAATAAGCAAATATAAACAAAAGTTCAAATAATTGCCGTGAGAATTATTTTCTTAATTTGAAAATTTAAATCATGGATGATATTAATGAAAAATTAAGAATTAAATTTTTGTAAGAAAAAAAAATGGTTTAAAACTTAATTTAATAATTATATTAATTAAACTGGCACTACAATGACTTATTGGTCGACAATTATTTGTACAATAAATATATAATAACTTATTATAAAAATTCATATAATTGTTCGTGTAAATATCTTCACATTGTTATTTATGTCTGTTGTACCATTTTTGTTTTTATAATTTGAAGAAATTGTCATTTTTAAGACTGATTTGAAAAAATTTAATCGTAATTATTATATTCTATATGCAATTTTATTAAATTTAAAAATTTGTTAATAAACTCAGAGTTTATTAATCTATTTGCACAAATGTATGATAAAGTGTAATAAAATTTAATGGAATTGAATAAAAATTTAATAAGATTTGATAAAATTGAATAGAATTTATTTTACCAATTAATTACATTTTTTTTTTATTATAATTATAAAATGTAAATTATTAATAAATTATTCATTTGTAAATAAATAATTACTTATAAAAATTATTATTTGTAGATTTTTTTTCACAAATGATAAAATGTTTTAAAAAGGGTTTAAGAAAAACTCAATTTTTCAATTTTATTACAATAATATTATGTAAATATTTATTTACACTACAAAATAACAAAGACCATGTACACTGGGAAATTATTCTGTCAACTTAACTAAAAAAAAAATAAAAAAAAAAAAATATGGTTCACACAATTCAAGTGATGTCGAAATCTTTTTTTTGAAAAATTTCCCATACTAAATAAGATATGTTTTTTTTTAATTTGACAATTTTCTTTTTTCCTTGGCATCAATTGGTTTATTATTATTATTATTAATCTATATAATTTTTTTCAATGGGTTTCCGAGCCTCCTTAGATCTGCATTATTTTCTTCTGATTTTTTATCTACAGCCTTTTAACAAGATTTTTATCATAAAAACATGTCACAATGGGAATCTATAATATGTATATTTATATTTATAATAAATGGTAAAAACAATCAATGCCTGGCACTGTTGCAGCAAATACTATTTACAAGTTTTTGTCTTTCTGACTGATTTTAGCCATTACAGAAATCTTTTTTCGATTTTTTTTTTTTTTTTTTTTTTGATATTTCTTGAATGAAAAAATTCAATTTTAATATAAAATTGAGTAATTAGATTTTATCGGTAAATTTAATTATTTTATAAAATAATCTGTCGTGAAGTAGTAAAATTCTATTTTTATTTAATGGAATAAAAAAATTATTGTAAGTGAATAAAATTGTTTTTTAAAAGATGGAATCGAAGAAAGATTTTTGTAAATTACCAACGAACAACGCGACAACTATCACATAGTCTAGCATACTTTTTCAATATTTTCGACGAGAATCGAAAATTTCTTTTTTGAAAAAGATGTCAGACACCCCGCAGATGATCAGATTAGTAATTAATAATGACTACACTATTACGCACAGCTTCTGAGCAATTTCATATTTCATTTAAGCCAAGATATTTTCAATTTTTAATAATCTTTACTGACAATTTTCTGTTTCTCTTTTTTTTTTTTTAATGACCATAATGTAAGAGATTTTACTTTATTTAAATTTATTAATATTTTTAGTTGATTTAAAAATTGCGAAATTAAATTGAAGTAAATTTTTAAAAATAATGTTTTAAACAATTTTTTAAATAATTTTTTAAACAATTTTAAAAATTGTTTTTCTTTTCTTTAGTTTTTTAAAAAAAGTTTTACTGAAGTTTTAGATGAACTTTTTTGTAAAATTTAAATTTACAATTATCTATGAATTAAATTCTCTTTTGTAGTAAATACAAACAAGAGAGAGAGAGAGTGTTTGATAAAAATATGAAAGTTTCGTCGAAGTAAAAATAGAAAAATGGTGAAATTAAATAAAAATTTGTGACGTTGACTGTTTTTGACGAAATACTTTCGGGTGGTTTTTTTTTGGGGGGGGGGGGGAGACAACTATACAATTTATAATAGGGAAAAATTTGTGTGTGTGTGGTGAAAATTCTTCGCATTGTCGCCAATAATTCACCATACTGGTTTTTCTTGATATGAAAAAATTTTTAAGACGGAGCGATAATGCACTTTTTTTTTCTTAAAAAAAAATTCATCGACAATTTTTTTCTTTCTTCTTTTGATGATTCTCAAATGGCTAAGGAGTATCATCAAATTTCAGATTTTTTTTTTCCTACTTTTACGAGATATATATGAGCTTCCTAATTTAGACGTGTCCTAGATGATGGAAGTGATTAGTCGCGCCTTGAAGTTGACAATTCGTTCGCTGGTTGCTGCCAAACGCTGAAAAAAATTAATTTATTAATTATTTTTGTTATTTTAATTAATTTATTTATTATTTTAAGGGCAGATCAAAGTCGAAGTAATTTTTACATAGATTTTAATTATTTTTTGAAAAATTGTTTTTTTTTTAAAGTAGGAATTATTTTTATTTGTAAATAAAATTAATTTGTAATTTTTTTTTGTAAATGATTGTGAATTTAAATAATTTATTTTATTGTTACAAAATTACAGTAATATTTTGTTTTTTTTTCAAAAAAAAAAGATTTTCCAGTTGTGAAATTGTCTTTTTTTTTAGAAAGTTTAGAAATATTTTTCTATTTTTCTAAAATAAGTTGATTAGGTAAATATTATGATATGTTGAAGAAGTTAAGTGTCGATGTTGGCAATTTTTTTTTTTAACTTGAGAAAACAATTATTTTTTTTTTTCTCTCAAACTTTTTCCTGACGTCAAGGACAATAGTTGTAATATTTGGACAAATTTATAAATAACAGGACAGTGTAATTTTGATATAGAAGCTCTTTGGGATCTGTTGTTGCGTGCCAGGAGCGAATAGCCCCGGAACTTGCATAAGTCAACCGGCAAATGAACGGACAAACTATTTCATAGAGAAAGTCCCGTACATTTTTACTTTCCATCGATCTAAGACTTATTACATAATTGCAATTATATCTGGAACATTGTAGATTCGCGCTGGTCACGTCTTATATATATATATTAATTATTATCACATAGTTAACCCCTCTTTATAAATCATTATTTTATTATGGAAAATTTCGACTATTCATATATATATTTTTTTTTCATGAAAGAAGAATTGTATATTTAAAATTTTTATTATACTTTTTATGTAATATTCATTGAGTAATATATTATCTAATTATATGTACATTAGGTAATTAATGTTATTTAATTTTTTTGAATAATTAAGTAACATATAATTGATTTTAAAATAATTAGGCAAGTATTTTGTGTTTGATTGACTTTTCAATTTTAATTAAGTTTTCAATGACCTGATTTTTTATTAATTTAGTAATTGTGCGAATTATGTAAATAATTATTTATTACTCACTTATTACTTAATTATTTAATTATTATTTAATTATTTCGTATCTTCTACTTAAAAATTATTATTAATTTATTATGAAAAATTATTTTTTTTACATTTTTGCATTTACTTTTTTTTGACGTATTTTAAACATACGAAAAGCGGTTAAAGAAATTAAAAAATAGAAAAATTTTCTATTTGATTAATAAAAAATGATTTTTCCAAATAAAGGAAGTGGATACGTCAGTGAGAGATAGCAAATACCGTGAGACTCTTGAAGCAAACAGGATGGTAAATACGTGCTTCATTTGGAAATTATTATCATCACTATCAAGTGTGAATATAAATTTAAGTGTCGTGATATTAGTGAATGAATACAGAAAATTTTTTAGTTAATGGAATATTTAATTTTAGGTAAGTATAAAAACAATTTTAATTAATTAAATTAATTAAATAAAATAATAAATAAATGATTAATTAATTATTAATTAATTAATTATTTATTTATTTATTATTAATTAATTATTTATTTATTTATTAATAATTAATTATTTAATTCCTAATCATATTATTATATTTTGAATATCAGTTTAATAAATTGTTGATTTATTATTAAAAATGTTGTCATTTATTAAATTGCATTAATTTAATTATATAATTTAGATTTGTTTATGAGCACAGGAGATTTATATTTGGTTTGATATTAATTAGAAAAATGATTTAATTATTATATGAACTCCTATTCCATTTTGCTCGGTAAAAGGATTTCTTAAAAGTTGAATTAAACCCTTTATAATTTTATTATAATGAAATTGAAAAATTGCAAATGAAATTGAAAGTGAACGAGTTTTATAAACACGTTATAATCAACGACCTTTATTATTGTATATAAGTTGATTTCAATTTACGACACATGAATGACTTTTCCGTCCCATATATCACTTGCCCAATATATTTTTACATACGATTAATATGCTCAAGTGTTAGAAAATAAATTATTATGAATATCATTAAATAATGTATAATTAGGTCTGTAATTAAATTTTATTGTTCTTTTCATAAATTAATTATTATTTAGTATTATTTAAAATTTTTCACTTAATTAATAATATAATAATAAATTCAATTAATTTTAATAATTCAATTAATTAATAATAATTTAATAGTAAATTCAATTACTATTTAATTATTCAGTTAATTAATTTAATTAACTCTCTAAATCTGAATTAGTAAAAATGTTTACTAATTTAAATTAGTGACACACTTTTTGCTTTAGAATTAGTTAAATTTTACTAATTGTTAGTAAAAATTACTAATAATTAGTAAAATTTGACTAATTGAGAAGCAAAAACTACTAATTCAAATTAGTAAACTTTTTTACTAATTCAGATTTAGAGAGAATTTATAAATTGCAATTAATTGTTAAATTTTATTATAATTCTTGATTGTAAATATTAATTAATGAAAATCTAATTGTACTAATCGCAAATAATTGCGATTATTTTTATCATTGGAATTAATTTAAATAATCCGATTCTTTTATCTATTCTGAATAATTAAAAGTGTCATTGAATGAATGAACTAAGGAAAAAATTGACGTCAAAGATTATTGAACTCTACGAATAGTGATTAGGTATTTTTAATTTGGAAAAAAATCATAAATATTAATTTCTATTCCATCTGAGTTCAATATAACCATTAGGGAAGTATTTCTTATAATTGAAATTAAAATTCAAACAATTTAATATGTAATACTTACGAGTATGAGGTCCTGAATAAGATTCGAAATTCCTCGATTTGCTATGACAAAAAGCCTCGTGATTGGTCCGGGAACAGCTTCCTGTCCACCTCCTGGCGATGGAGCGCCAGCCGCTGGGTCTGATTGACCACTGCTACTACTTCCGCTTCCGGCGACCAACTGTAATCATCGCGCGATAAAATTAGCCAATAGAGTTGTAAAAATCACATATATTTTTTTTTTATATACAGGTGATTTTTTTTTAGAAAAAAAAAAAAATTAAAGGCAAATGCAGGATTTCTTTGGGAGTAATTATAAAGGAATATACAGTTGCGGCTCCACGTCCAGCTCCAGCGCTCCCGACACTACGGTGCTATAAATCCTTAATCCTTGCTATATATTATATTTATTTATAAATATATATAATCCATCAATCCTGCTGCTCTTCGATCCAATCTTTAAAAAGTGCTCCTTTGTTCTTTGTAAAAAATTCCATTTGAAAAAAAAAAATTCATTTTAGAGTCCTTTCGCAGTATGCTGTTTGCAATTTTTATTTTTAAAATTATTGATGACCAAAAAAAATTTTCAGCACACTTCGAATAGAAACTATATTTGAGCGTAAAATATTTATATCTATAAATAATTTGCAGCTCTATATATATACATCATTTTTTCAGTGACCATTCCCAATTTAACGTTCTTTTTTGAACAGTGAAAAAAGAATTTTATTCTAAAAAATTGTATTGATTCTTATTAATAATTTATTCTATTAATGAGAATTTTAAATTTAGAATAAAATTTCTTTTTGTCAATAATTTATTCTGATGGAAATTGTTGAGAATTGTTACTGAATTGATCCTATGAGAAAAATGCAAGGGGTTTTTTTTTCCTGTCAAATTTTGAAATTTAATACAAATTAAAAATTCATTTGAAATATGCGTTTAATTTTTTTTTTGGAAATTATAAAAAATTAAAAGAAAGGAAAATTATTTTTTTTTAAATTTAATCGCATGACGGAATTTTTATTCTACTGACAAAAAATACATTTGCTTTATTTAAAAAAATATAGTGCACAAGTCAATATAACAATGAGAATCGTGATAACGAAGGGCCCAGACGAGATCCATTAGCAGTTGGTTCGCCAAGTTTTTTTTTTTTATTTTTTATTTTTGTCAGCAGTGATTGTCAGCGTTGCGTCGGGACCGTTGGCAGAGTGGAACGTCTGGATAGCAATGGAATCGGATTGGATGGGGGGTTATTTTTTTTCTTGAATAATTTATGAATGATTCGAACGAATAGATCAGTCAAATGATGAATGATTTGAGTTACGATTAAGGTTTAATAATAATTAATATCAAACAATTATATTAGAAACAATTTTTAATGAAACTAATCGTAATTATGTTATTAATTTTTTATATATTTATTTTACTATTACAATTTTGAAAACCATTTTTAAATTTTACCATTTTAAATTATTTTACCAGTTTTATTATTATTTTACCACTATTATTTATTATAATTATTTTCTAAGTTGTTTTATTACGTGATTGTTGCATATTTAACCGAAATCGCAACTCTTAACTTGTACTTTTGGGATGTTGTACTTTTTTAACATTTTTAATAATTACCGATTTTTTAAGCACCTTTTTAACCTTTTCTTTTTAAAGTAAAAAAATTAAAAATTTTAAAATACATTTAAAATAAAAGATTAAAAAATTTGTTATGTTAATTTAAAAGAAGTAAAAATAAGTAATAAAAATTATAGTAAAAAAAGGTTTTTGACAATTAGAAAAATATTTTTAATTATTAAATTAGATTACATTTACATTCGAAACATTTTTTTTATGTGCACTTGGTTAATGAAACATTAATTAATACAATCAACACTTATTTCAGGATAATATTACTTACTTGATAAGTAAAATTCCTTTTGTTTATATCCAAGCCCTTTTTTTCTTTAATTGAAAATTTTTTCGAGGCACATTTTTTTTTTTTTTTTGTAAAAGTACTACAACTTTCCAAAGTACATATATGAAATAAATTTAGAAAATGATGATGATGATGATGATAATGATGATAAACAATATAGGAATGGTAAAATGGGAAAATGGAAATGCAAACAATGCTAATATTTCATAATTCAAAGAGACTTTTGCAATTATTTTCATTATTTTTATGATTTATATTTTTCATCAAGCTTTTCTTTTTAAACACGCAAACGCTTATATTGTGAAAAATATTGCAAAAGTATTCTTGATATGCAATTCATGCAAGTGTTGAAAATGAGAATAGAATAACAGGCAATAGAGAAAAATTTGAAAAAAAAAATTGTTTAGAAGAAAGAAAATGTAGTATTAGTATAGAAAAATGTAGAAAAGAAGATAAAAAAAAAATAAAATTAGAAACTAATTAGAATATTAGAAAATTTTGGAGAAAAAAAAGTAGATAGAAAAAAAAGTTGAGGCCAAAGTAAGGAGTGGATTAGTTTTGATAGATTTTGAAAGGAAAATAAGAAAGGAATAAGAGTAAACTGTTATTGTCGATAAAGTATTTCGACTATAATTGAAAAGCTACAAATAGTAACGAAAAAAAAATACTACAAAAGTTATAAAGTGAAAATGTGATTATAAAGGCAGTCGTGATTTTTTTTTGAGTGAAGTGTTAAAGAGGTGCTACGAGCAAATAATTAACAGCTACGTGCAATAAAATTAGTGTTTTTCTCCAGGTATAGGGTGCTTCTGCATTAGCAGTTGCAAATACAGCAATTAAAGAATATGAAAAAGAAAATAGAGAAAATGCGGTGCAATGTATATGTAATGTTTTTTTTTTTGTTCTGTGTTCTCGTTGAATTGAATTTGATAGAAAATATAAAAATGTTTCTTGTAAATTTTCACACTAATTATTAAATTAATTTCATAATTAATTAAATAATTAACAAATTAATTTAATAATTACGTCAAAAGTTATTTAAGAATTATTATTAATTATTATTAAAGTAAAAAATTGATTGAAAAAAAAATAAAATTAATAAAAAAAAAAAATAATAAAGGGTGTAATGGTGCTGTGTTGGTAGTGAATTTGGCGGTGGTTTTTTTTTTAATTTTTTTTTTTTTTTTTGACGTTGGTAGGAAGGATTTGGCGTACCGATGGTCTCGTGGCGTTTCCGGGCGCAGGGGCTGCTGGGGCAGCTGGCGCAGGGGGGGCACCTGGGGCGGCGGGTGGGGGAGCAGGGCCCACATCACGTGATGCGCTAAGGCCCAACCCGAGGCTTTGTGTACCAGCTACCACGCGGTACACTGTGCCCGCCGCTCTTGCCGCCCCGTCGGCTGCTTGCTAGGGAGACAGACGATCATGGTTTTATTTCTTTTTTCTCCTTCAAATAATTGTTATCGATCACTGCAAAAAAATTCATGTCTCGCGATTCGATGTCCCCATATACAAATTTATCCACACACAAAAAAAAAAAAACAAAAAATTCGCTTTTGCTGCAAAAATTTTGTTACAGGACTTGTTCTCGTTCATTCATTATATATTTGGTCATCATTTTTTTTTTTTTTTTTTACTGACACACTTCAGCCCTTTTTACTTTTTTTTAATTATATTTATCAATTTATATTATTTTATTATTACAATATATTTCTAGAATTATTATTATTATTACTACACGGAAGAAAATTTTTATCTGGATATGTTTCTCTAGAATAACGAAAACTTTCCCTGTTTTAGTGAAACATATCGCAGGTGAAATTTTTTTCCGTGTATATTATTATTATTACTAATATTAATATAGTTTATATGATTTTTATATTTATTAATTATTTATATTAATATTATTATATTGTTTATAATTGTATGATTGATCATATGAGGAAGGAAGCTGATAATCGTGTTATTTTTATTTATACAAATTATTAATTGTCACATATTTTATTATTTTTTTTTTTAAATAATTTTTGTCGTGAAAAAACCTATCCCTACTGGGATTCGAACCCTCAATTTCGGATCGTAAGTCGAGAACGCTGACCACTAGACTAAAGTACTTTATAGATAGTTTTTTATATTACCGATTTATTAGAGTAACGGGTGTTAAAGTTTTCAGTTTTTTTCAGTAATTATATATTTATTCACAGAAAATTATAAGGTATTAAAATAAGCTGCAACGCTTATTATTTTAATCCAATTTTGCTTATTTTAATAACAAAATAAATTAAAATAAGCAAAATTGGATTAAAATAATAAGCGTTGCAGCTTATTTTAATGCCTTTTAATTTTCTGTGTTTTTAATTATTTTAAATTTTAATAAATTTTGGGATTTTTTTTAATAATGATTAATTTTTTTTTTTTTTTTTTGAAAATTCCTTGTTTCTTTGGATGTAGTGTAAAAAGTTTATCACTGTGGTATTTAAACAATCCGGTCAATCAAGATAGTGAATAAAAACTAGTTTCGCTAATCATGGGAGAGACGGGCGAAAATTCTTGTCAGGGATTAGCTCTCTATACATAGGTGATTGTTATACTAGATAGTTTTGTTGAATTCCTATAACACTTTTTGATTTCTTGATTTTCTTTTCTTATTTTTTATTTTATTTTTATTTCATTATTTATTTTGTATTTATTATTTATTTATTATTTATTTATTATTTATTTATTATTTATTTATTATTTATTATTTATTTATTATTATTTCGATTTTTACTTGGATAGAAAAATTTTAACTGCCCTTGCGTATGAATAGATTTTTGAATAAAAACAAAGCTAAGTTTTTTTTTTATTCAAAGAAGTATTAATTTGAATTTTTGGTATAATAGTAAAAGGCTTTCTGTCAGCTAAAATATACATAGAATTTTAGTCGAGATATTGAAAACGAAGTCACGCGTTGCTTTCACGATTATCTTCATATAATCAAGCCATCTTCTGCACGCGGTCAGCTTCGAGGTCACAAAACCTTGGAACGGAAACTAGACATAGATTAGACTTTCACCTCGTCTGCAACATTCGCGACGTCTATTTTTGCCCTTCTTAGTTTTATAACTTTCGTTTTCAAATATAGAAATTTACATTTTTTTTTCTTTTGTTAGAAAAAATTAAAAATCACGTAAACAATTATTAGATATTTGTTTTTAGAAAAATAGATTTTTAAAGAAAAATTACCTTGTAATTATTTTCGAAAATAGAGCAATTTGGGATTAATTGAAAATTAAACTGAAAGAACTTGAATTTATCGACCTTCAAGGGACATTAGATGAATAATGATTCAGATTCTATAATTCGATGTAAATGTACACCTTGACATAATAGCCATTCAAGTAAAAAGTCATCGTATTTTTTTTTAACACGAATTTAAAAATTTTAATTCTTTTTTTAAATTTTTATTTTTTTTTTTTTAATAAACACGATTATTCAGCTGGGATTTTTGTTTTTAAAAAAAATTTGATAATATAAAAAATGATTTTGAAAAAAAAAATTTTCAACTTACCCTGATAATGTCGAAAAGAAAGTTTCCTGATCCGGCACCACTTCCACCCCCAGATGATCCATTTGAATTTAGGAATCTTTTGTTTCGATTTTCATCGTCACTATCGTCAATATCGTCTAGGGGTGCAAGTTCCTGTTCGGCGGCTTCATTTTGCTTTTCGTCGGCAAATTGAACTCGAATTTCATTATTTTGCGATTCCGCTGCTGCCGATTCTTTTGGTTGATCGTCCGAGCTCACAGCTTCACTTACACGATTTTCAGCTTCTGGATTTATGTCCTGAAATATGTGAACATTTTTTTTTTTTTATTTCCTTTTTTCAATTATTGCCATTTATGAAAATTGTTTGAAATTTATGTTTTGAATGAATTTTTTAAGAATTAGAAATTATTTTTTTATTTTCCAGAAAATAAATTTCAAACATATATACATTTATGTTGCACATGAAATAACACAAAAATCTTGCTGTTATAACGTTTGTATAATGAAATTAAACACACAATGTTGAAAGAATAAAATGTTAAAAGAAAAAATTCACGAATGAAAATATTAAAAATTTAGGTGCATTAATTTTTTTAAAGTCTTATTTAAACATGCTTTAATCACATGCAAATAAGGCGATATTGCATTATTTTTTTTTTCATCAGAAAGATTATAAAAAGGATTTCCTGTAAAATCGACAAGCGATGAAAGTGTTATTGAATAATTAATTCGGTAATATATTAATTACCGTATATAGTGTGTCGAGAACTTTGATCTCTTGTAAAAATTACTATATTTCCTTCAAGTTTTTAATATAAAAATACAAAAATTAAATTCCATTTTAGAGATGAAAAATTCAGTTGATAAAGAAAATAGATAATCACATTTGTTTTTTTTTTTTAATTATGTGAGTCCCATTTGCATCAAAGAGGGATGCATCGTGTGTATCGTCTCGAATACTTTCACGATGTTTAACTTCGAAGAAATAGTTAAGAGAAGGATCTCATATTTTGAAAAGAACCTGTCATTATATTTTAAAAATTTGCTTATTGTAATTTTTTATACAAATTTTTAAAATACGATTTTTTGTTATTTCTTATATTTTCCTTTTTTTAAACCGTTTTAGAAAAATTAAAAAAAGAAATTAAAAGATATTTTTTTTTTTATTAAAAGAAATAATAAAAATAATATTTTTTGTAATATTTTATGAAATTTATTACTCGTGCAGTTTCTAATGATGAAAAAGAATTGTTGCGCCTTTTCAAATTACGTATATTAATAAACTGTAACGCACAATGGTAAAAAGATAATCAAAGAAATATTTTTCGAAAGAGAAAGCCGCGCTTGTATATTGAAATTGAATAGACTACAAAGTATTACGTTTTACTAATGAAACATTATTATCACGTTTTATATTTATTTATCTATTTTGCTTTTTAACTAGATCTGAATACGGACATTTTTATATTAAAATAAATTCTATGTATCATATTTATTGACTTTCTCTTAAGATTCCATGAGTGATTGTCTTGTGATTTTATTTTATTCGATCGAATTTTTTCTGTTCGTGAAAAAAAAATAGAATAATATTAATTAAATTCTTCGGTGAGAATTTTTAGAAAAATTATAAGAAATATTTTTAGGTTCATTTTCAATATAGAGAACATAGTGAACGAGATGAAATCGAAAGTGAAATAGACAATAGGCGAGATATATATGGAAAAGCGAATCGATTTAAAATAATCAATCACATTCTAACTGTTCAGTATCGAGTATCGCCTTCTCCTTGTGTTGAAAATCCTTTTCATATAAATTCTTCTAAAATCCCAGCATCCAGGATTGTTGCTCAGTTCCCTATATTGTTAGCTTTTTTTTTCTCTTTCACATTCAAAAAACAAATTTAATACAAATAATTTTCCTGTTACAAGTTTTATGAAAAAAAAATTGCTTCAACCATTTTGGTTGATTCAAAGAAAATTTTCGATTGATTGAATCAAATTGTTTTTTTTTTTTTGGTTTATATGTAAATTTAACAAGAAACTACACACAAATAGAAACATAAACATTTATTTGACGCAGTTATTTTCCAGCTGCATTTATATATCTTATAGCACATGATACTTACAAATATATCGAGATTGTACATCTAATGATAAAAATCTATTTGCACGAGAAAGCTGATTGCTCTCGCAGTGTCATTATAATTTTACTTTATTGTCTATACATTTTCTATTTAAAAAAAAGAAAAGAAAAAAAATCAATAAATTCTTGTCATGATAAAAATACGAAAATCGATTTTATAGGAAGAAGATGAATAAAAAATGGAAACAAATATTTTGCTAGGATCGTATTTGTTTTCATTTTTTTTTGCTAGGATCGTTTTGAAAAAAAATTTCTAAATTTTGTACAGTAAAATATTTTCTAGTTCTAGATCATCTTTTGATAGATCATTTATTGGTAAATTCCTCGGTAAATTGTTTTTCTAATAAATCAGTTTCTAGATCATTTTCTATTTAAATTATTTTCTAGATCAATTCTTCTAGATCTAGTGGATTATTTCATCATTTTCACTGTATCAGGGATATTAGATTTTTTTTTAAATTTCTTCTAAATCATTTTTTCTGAATTATTTCCACTAGATCACTATTCACTAGATTATTTTTCTTCTTTTCACTATAGATCATTTCTAGAACATTTCTACTCGATCATTTTTACTACAACATTTTTCTTCTTCTCCCTAGGGTAAATTTTTATTGTCATCATGAATAATAATCCATTCAGGAAATGTGTTCAATTAAAGATTTTTCTCAAAAAAAAAATATATAGGGTCAGTTGGGGTAAATGGGGACAAGAGGTTTTGGAGCTTAATTTACAGTTTTAAATTTAAGTTCAACGTCAATATTTTAACCTCAGATCACCTGCAAGAGGTTTTGAGTATTGTCAAGCTTTTATCTTGACAATTGGCAGCAAGATAAAAAAAGTTATCGCTCAATGCATAAAAACTTGAAAATTAAAGTCAAACTGTTTCAGTATTTTGTCGATCATTTCAATAAAAACAGACTTAAAAATCATACCAAATTTTTTTCTTATTCCTTATGACTTCTATAATAGAAATTCACTCGAATTTTTGATTTTTATCAATTTGGTTAATAATGACAAGCTGTCCCCATTTACCCTGAGTTTTCAAATTTTTGGGGTAAATGGGGACAGCTTGTCATTATTAACCAAATTAACAAAAATCAAAAATTCAAGTGAATTTCTGTTATATGGGAGTCATAAGGAATAAGAAAAAAATTTGGTATGATTTTTAAGTCTGTTTTTTTTTCAAATGCGAGACAAAATACTGAAATAAAAAAAAAAATTCAATTGGTTCAACTATTATATATCTACTACAAATTTTTTTTCAAGTTTTTTCATCCCTTAATACAGAAATATACTTAAGAGTATGTGGGAACCTCTCACGTGACCTAGTATAGGAAAATGTGTTTTGGTAGTATACATTTCACTCTAAAATGAAAAAAGATTTTTGTCTAAAATTTTGAGGGATAATAGATTTGGGTTCAAGGAATCTCGCTGTTCTCCGAAAAATACATAATTTTGTGTTAAATTATTAAAAAATGAAGTTTAAAAAGTGGCATTTTGAAACGAAAATGAAAACAAAGATGGCGGCGCATACACAGACGTTGCTTGAGTGTGTCGATATAATACATTATTTTACTATTTATTGCTTTATTTTTATTATTTTTGCGTTATGTTATAGTAAATGTGAAGAACAGCGAGATTCCTTGCACCAAACTAAATTATTTTTCCAAAATTTTAACCCGAAATCATTTTTTATTTCAGAGAAAGTTTCAAACCACGAAAAAACGTCCTTTGCCCACATACCCTTAAGGAAACTTTTTTCTTAAAACTTTCTTAGAAATTATGCTGTCCTCATTTACTCCAAATTTTATGAAATTTTCTAAATTTTGGGGTAAATGGAGACAGTCAGTTTCATGCGTTTAAAGCTTATTTAATTTTTTTTCTGATGCATAAAATTAATCCTGGGAACGTAAATAACAACTTTAAAAAAAATAAACCCGCAAATATTACCTTTTAAAGGAAGAAAATTACGTAATTTGTGAAAAATAGCGATTTTCTCCCCATTTACCCCAACTGACCCTATATATATTTTCGATTCGTTTAAGAAAGAGTAACGTAGAATTTACTAAAAAAAATTTTAATAGGAAAATTTTGAAAAAAAAAAATTGAAAAAAATATAGCAGATGTGCCGTTCTAAACCGATTTTTCCGTATCGTTAATAACATTATCGTCTGGTAATTTTTCGGATGTGCTTTCTGTTTTTATTGTCACGGAATTTGAATCCTGTGAATCATTTTCATCAGGTGGAAATGTTGGTAATTCAATAGAAACACGAGAGCCATTTGAATTTTCATCATCAGTTTTCGAATCGAAGTCATCGAAATCATCGAATGGATCAAGTGTCACTGTTGTTCCACTGCCACCCCCTTTTGCATTTGCTGCCCCATTACCACCACCTCCAAGTGCCCCCCTCAGAAAAACAGGACCAAGAATGCGGAAGATTTCTGTTGTTATCATGTTGACCTTTTGTTCGATTATCTAAAAAATAATAGCTCTAAATTTTTCTCTTTCCATAATCCTTCGGAATAAAATGATTTTTGAAATGAAATGTGTATATAAGGCTCGAAAAACTTCCATTATGAGGATGATTCTTCCATTATTCAGTCATTAATGATTCTTCTTTTTTTTATTAGAGCTGTAGATGTGAAGTTGAGGAGAAAATGATAGATTTCACTAGGCGATGATTCCGTACTTAAATAATATGTATTTTAATAAAAAAAAAAATTTTCTTGTTGATCTTCTGTTCGATATTCGATTTGATGACAAATTAAAAAAACAAATATGAGAAATATTATTTATAAAAAAATTTATTTGATATAAATAATCGGTTACTTGATTGTTAACAAATAATTTTTTTTTGCATTAAATAAATTTTAACTGCACTAAATAAATTTTATTTGTAACAAATTATTTTTGTATGAAATAATTTTTGTATTAAATAATTTTTGTATCAAATAAATTTTTGTTTGAATCAAAAAACTGTAATTAAACCAATAATTTCTGTTTTTGAAACAAATAAAATTGAATTGAGTTAAATAAAAATTATTTGGTTCAAGGAAATATTTATTTAATAATAGTCAAGTAACCGATTTGAATTAAAATAATTAAATAAAATTTTTTTCAGCATATGAATTGAATTAAATTAATTAAAAAAATGATGTGTAAATGAAGTGAATTTTTCAGTTTGTCGTAATAAAATTTAGAATATTTTTATTTAAAATTACAAAATAATTTTAAGAAAATTTCTCTGATATATAAAGATTTACACCCACTTATTCATAATGAAATGTGTCAGAATATAAAAAGAGTTATTAGAATATAAAAGGGGCATTTGTTTCTAATATGAAATGCTCAACACGAATAGTTTGATTTAGTCAATATATTCAATAGACCATGTCGAAATTTTCTATGGCACAGTGACTAAAAGTCTCTCTTTCAAATGGAAAACATGTTCCGTCTTTGGCAATATATATTATATATTTCTATATTCTAACTTAGTTCTAGTAACTTATTTCTAACAATTAGAAATTTTAATTATTTAACAGTTAAAATACTTTTCGTCTTTTATTTAATAATTAATAATTTTTTCACGAATTTCTTTTGTTATTCATCTCTAATAAAATAATAAAAAATAATTTAACAAATTTACATTTCAAAAATAATTTAACACATTTAAATTATAAAAATAATTAAAAAAATAATTAAAACAAATTTAAATTACAGAAACTTCTTGAATAAAATAAAATTAAACAAATTCTTAAACAGAATTAAATCATAAAAATAATTTAACAAATTTAAATTATAAAAATAATTTAACAAATTCACATTATAAAAATATTTAAACAAATTTAAATTTTGGAAACTTCTTAAATAAATAAATAAAAATATAATTAAACAAATTTAAATTATAAAAATAATTAACAAATAATTAAAACAAATTTAAATTACAGAAACTTCTTGAATAAAATAAAATTAAACAAATTCTTAAACAGATTTAAATCATAAAAATAATTTAACAAATTCACATTATAAAAATATTTAAACAAATTTAAATTTTGGAAACTTCTTAAATAAATAAATAAAAATATAATTAAACAAATTTAAATTATAGAAATAATTAACAAATAATTAAACAGATTTAAATTATGAAAATATTAAATAATGTAAAAACAATTTATAATTTGTTTACCTATTAAATTAATTAATTTGACTAATTTAATAAAATTAAGTCCTAATCCTAATGTATTGAACTGTTAAATAATTTCATTTTCTGCCCATACAAACGTTATTGAATAACCTATGATTTTTAATTTAATTTCTAAACTCTCATTATTAATTTCGTTAAAATGAACTTTCTGATCTTAATATGATCCACTATTATATAGATGAAATTGTCTAATTTAGAAAATTGCAATGAGTTTATAATAACGAGTAAATTGCATTATCGCGAGATTGATTTGTTCTTTTAATCGTGAAAGTAAATTCGTAACGCGTATTAGTGTAACAGTTATATCTTATATTGCTTGAGCAACTAATAGTTGATTTTATTTATTTAATATACGTAACACATTTTAGAGGACAAATAATCGAGTTCTTTTTTTTTTAAATTAATATATAATAGAGAAATCATTATTTCTTTTTTTGTCATATAAAAAATAATCTCTGGTACTATTGTTTTATATACAAAATTTGTCTTATTTTTTTTTTACGCGATTTTCTATAAATTTCTTTATATTGAGGCATAAATCACTTTCACTTAAATTTCTCCAGCCTACAAAAATTTCATTGATTTTTATTATATAGTGTCACTGTTATTTTTCATTCTTATGTGAATAACAATTATAAATCTATAAGAAAATCGCATTAAAAAAAAAAGAAGACAAATTATATAGAATTTTTATAATATAAACTTTTTTAATGAGAGAATAAAAATAATTTAAGAAATGAAAAATAAATTTTTAAATTGTTTCGCTATTTCAATGTATACATTTATGTATTTTATGCGAATAATTAAAAATTTATTTAGTAATTAGTATCTGTAAAAAGACGTAATTTAGTTTGTTTTTTTTTGTAATTTTTTTTTTTTTTTTTGGTTTATGAATGTGTAGAAGCAATCTCTTAACTTCCGGTTTCGTAACAACGGCGGAGAGGAAGATGCGCACTTTTTCGTTTATGATCTTATAAAGGCGTAACAAGATCGCGTGGTCAATAAGCAAAACATTGTCTGGGAATTGCGAGTAAAATTGCATGCGAAAAAATCACGCCAAGTTTATATATATAGGACTTTCACGTGAGGAATGTTTGCTATTTAAATGGCCAAAAATTTATAAAAATTCCTTTAAATAAATAATTGAAATTATAGTTTTTTTTTTTAGTCGATGAGAATATGTAAAATAAATGAAAAAGTTGATTATAATTTTTGCAAGGATTTCTGGTAATAATTAAATAAATTTGAATATTGATCTCTATACAAGGACGATTTCTTCAAGGATTTCAATGAATCCTGAGAAAATTTTTTTTTCTCACCTGAGATATTTCTGGAAATAGTTGTCGTAATATTCCAATTGTCCTTTTGTTTCTGAGGGCCGTGTCTTTTTCTGCCTCAACCATCACCAATCGATCAAGAGCCTGAAAAATACTTCAATTTTTGGCTCCTTCGTAATCACTTGACACTTTTTTTTTTTTAAAAAAAAGGTCTATAAAGAAAAATTTACCGCAGTACTTAGAAATTATTTTTTAGAAAATTATTAATTTCTTTTTCGAATATTTGAATTTCATCAAAAAAAAGAAATATTGTTTCAATAATTTATTGTCTTTTTGGATTATTTTTCTGATATAAAAGTAGCTAATACCAATTTTTTCTTAGGTCCCTTATGAAAATTCCCTTATAAGAAAATAATGTTAAAGCTGAAATATTTTCAGTATAATGTTTTTTGTATAATATTTTCGCGATTATAGGTAATTTTTTATAAGAAATTCATTATAAAATTTTTTTTCTCAAATAATTATAAAAATATAATTATTAGAGACTCTGTAATGAAATCATTACAATTTTATAATTATGAAAATGTAATTATAGAAAATAAAATTTTTCACGTTCAAAAATTAAAATTATAAAAATTTAATTACAGAAATTAATTAATTTTGTATTTTACTGATAACTATATATAGTTATCAGTAAAATACAAAATTACAAAACTATATATAGTTATCAGGAAAATACAAAATTACAAAACTATATATAGTTATCAGTAAAATACAAAATTAATTAATTTCTGTAATTAAATTTTTATAATTTTAATTTTATAAATATTTTAATTTTTGCACGTGAAAAATTTTATTTTCTATAATTACATTTTCATAATTATAAAATTGTAATGATTTCATTACAGAGTCTCGAATAATTATATTTTTATAATTATTTGAGAAAAAAAATTATATAATGAATTTCTTATAAAAAATTACCTATAATCGCGAAAATATTATACAAAAAACATTATACTGAAAACATTTCAGCTTTAACATTATTTTCTTATAAGGAATTTTCATAAGGGGTATTTGATTTTTATTTATGTCCCATTTACTTATTTTGTTAAGTAAATATAGAAAATTGTTCAATTTGTTAAAAGTAGTTTTATAACTCGAGCTCTCATTTTCTATACTGTGTGCTATATTTAAACTCTATCGAAAATTACAAGAAATTATGTGTTTAGTAATAAAAATTTCTTTTGAATTATAGAAAATTTGTACCTTTCGCAATTGTGTTTATTTTTTTACTAGAACGAAAATAATTTTTCTTATAACAAATAACAATTTTAGGAAAAAAAAATGAAAATTTTTTTTTTTTTAATCTATAAGATATAATGGGGAAATAATTTTTAGAGTGTTCTTATGGTGACATGGTCCAGTATTTTCTGGAAATGGTCGATAGAACTTTGTGGCGTCAGTCGAGGCGTATCATATTTTGCAATATTTGTCTCGCGCATAAAATTGCCAATAAATAGATCCCAGGTGCAATGGTCAACAGTGAACTGGTAAAGTAACGGACCCACAAGTTTCTCAACCAAACACGGTCCACTTTCCCTTAAACCTCATTCACATTTGTGCACATATGCTTAACTCGACACGTAAGATTGTTGCTTATTACAAAATGAAAAATATGAATAATAGTATTTTCAAAATATTTCTTCATTTTTATTAATTTTGATATGAAATAAATATTTTTGATTCTTTATATTTAAAAAAAAAGATTCAAATATTTTTTTTATTACGGAATATTTTTTTTTCTTGTAACTGTAGTGGAAATGAAAAATATTCATCTCATGTGTCCTGTAAAAGTGTTTCATGAGACCACAAATGAATATTGTGAAATGAAATACTTGACACGTGTCGTATAAGGTTGCATGCCAACTTTGTAATTTACATTTAACACCTTTTAAAAAACGTTGAGTTAAATATACAGCATTCGCTACGCGTTTATTATAATCCTTTAACTCTCAACAACTTATTCACTTTGTCTTATTCCCGAGAAAATGAGTAAAAAATATAGTAGTTGAGTTATGAACTAAATTTTTTAATAATTAAAATTAGAAAAATTTAATAATTTATAAAAATACTGAAAAATAAATAAAATAATAATTATAATAATAAAAATAATAATAATAATAATAATAATAATACGAGAGGTGCATTTTAATTTTGTAAGCTCGTGTATATATGAAAAAATAAATATATACTCTCTAAATCTGAATTAGTAAAAATGTTTACTTATTGAAATTAGTGACTCACTTTTTGCTTTAGAATTAGTTAAATTTTACTAATTGTTAGTAAAAGTTACTAATAATTAGTAAAATTTTACTAATTCAGAAGCAAAAAGTGAGTCACTAATTCAAATTAGTAAACATTTTTACTAATTCAGATTTAGAGAGTACACTGGAAAAAAATTTATTTGATTCAAATATACGATTACTTGACTATTATCAAAGAAATATTGACTTGAATCGAATAATTTTTATTTGAGTTAAATAAATTGTATTTGAACCAATAATTTCTTTATTTGAAACAAATACCATTTAATTGATACAAATAATTATTTGATATACAAATAAATGTGACGCGATCTGAATAAAGGGATCTTAGAAGCAAATCACTTTGAGGTTATGTATGTATTAGTTTTTTCTTGATTGAAAGTTTCTTTTTAATTATTGCAAAATTAAAATCATTGTTTATGAAATATTTTAGTTTTGTAATGAAGACTTAAACATAAATAATTTATATCGACAGTTGATCCTTTTTTTGTATTTTCATTTCAAAAATTGCAAACATAACCTATATAATTCTTAGCTTCTTGAGGTCCCTTTCTTCAGATCGCGTCACAAATATTTATTTGATAATAGTCAAGTAATCGATTATTTGAATCAAATAAATTTTTTTTTCATTGTAGTAATAATAAAAAATAAATAAAAATAATAATAAATAAAAAATAATAATAGTAAATATTTATTTGTTATTATTTTTATCGATATAAAAACAATGGCTGAAAATAATTGAATTTTTTTTATATTTTGTATACAGTAATTATTTTCTTTTTTCAAATTTCTTATTTTATGTATTTTATTATATATATGATATTATTACTTTCTCTATTTAATCTATATAGTGTTGAAGTTATATATTAATTGTCATTAAGGATTAGAAAAAAAAAGCTAGTAAAAGGTACTTGTTGCTCTGTATTTAGGAAGTTTTAGTAGAATAGAAATTAGAAAGAAATTACAAAGAATCGTTGCTGTGTTATTTAATAAAATTATAGCAATTTCCTCGTTTGTGGACCGGGTTACAATGAGCGAGATTTGTCTTTGAGAGGAACAACACAAAGCCTATGATTTTCTTCGCCTCAAGAGAGATATTTGAGTTCAGGAGAAAAAAAAAAATATAACAATGCCTTTAATTTATAGGAACAAAGTATAGAAGTTTTGTGCAATATTCTTGTTAAATAAAACAACATCAGATATTGCTCATATTCATAAATTGCACCGGATTAATGTCGTTTGCATATTTCTTTGTCCATTGACATGATTTGTTATTTTTTTAATTCAAGGAGTAGGGAGAAATTTTTTTTAAAATAAATTATTATGAATTAGTTTTTTGTTTGTAAATTTTGATAATTTGAGTACTCTTTAAATCTGAATTAGTAGAAAACTGCTAAAACTGTAAACGAATAGGCTCTATTTCAATTCCTAAAAAATAGCTAATTTTTAGTAGAAAACAACTAATTTAACAGTCAAATTTGACTAATTATTTGTAATAAAATTACTCTCTAAATCTGAATTAGTAAAATAATAAGTTTACTAATTTGAATTAGTGATTCACTTTTTGCCTCTCAATTAGTAAAATTTGACTAAGTATTAGTAACTTTTACTAACAATTAGTAAAATTTTACTAAGTATTAGTAACTTTTACTAACAATTAGTAAAATGTAACTAATTCTAAAGCAAAAAGTGAGTCACTAATTTAAATTAGTAAACTTTATTATTAATTCAGATTTAGAGAGTACTAAAATATTTTCAGTGAGAAAAAAGATTTGGTTGGGGTTACCATTTTTGAGGTGACCATTTTTAGTTAGTAAAATATACAGCCGCTAATTTATTAGTTGTTGTTACTATTTTTTTTGGTTGGCATAACTATTTTATTAGTTAGTTTAACTAATTAGTTTGTTGGAATATCAACCCTCCAAATCTGAATTAGTAAAAATGTTTACTAATTTGAATTAGTGACCATTTTTACTAATTCAGATTTAGAGAGTATTTAATTAGTTACCTTACTAACTAAATGGTAACAGTAACTAATATAAATTAACAAAAATAATTTTACTAACGAAATGGTAAACCAATTGTTTCACTCAGTGTTGTAGACATAAATCTACTAATTTTTTAGTCATGTAACATAACCTAAAAATTAGATTAACTAGTCATTTTTGACTAAAAACTAATCATTACTGTTACTAATTCATTAAATAAACGAATCGATGCTGTTAAATTAGTCAAAAGTGACTAATTCTGAAGAGAGTAAAAAAAAATTGCAAAATTGTTTCACTTGTTATAAATATTTTTTTGTTTGTTTTTTTTCAATCAGTGAGTGAAATGATTTTGTTGAGATGTTTTTTTTTCTCTGATTATATGACTAAAATGAAATGAATGGTTGCAGGATCGATTATTTTGTCTTCAAGATTTAGCCTTAAGGCTTATGCAAACGTTCGTGCATTGAACTTTTTCTCTTCTCTGTGTGCAACGACCTTACGTTGATTTATCTCGTATGTATTCCAAGTTCGCACTTTTCACTCAAGTACACTCTCTTCTCCAAGAGATTTATTTCCTTTATAAAACAGAAACAATGTATACAAAGAAGAATTTTAAAAAAAAACTAAATATATTTAATCTAGTTTAAAGAAATATTTTTTTCATAAACAAAATATTTTAAATTATATGCATAATAATTAGAAAAATAAACACATTTAAAAAAAATTTATTTTTTTTTAGTAATTTTTCTTAGTATACATTATTTGTTAAGGCAGTGAAATCGATTTCCATAATAGTTGGACGAAACAGAAAAAAAAACAAGTAAATCGATTG